TGGAACCACTTCGACTTGGTGGCAAAGCAATAGATGTTCTGTCTGCAGAGCTGAGACACCCGTTGTTGGAGGCCGTCAACAAAGCCCAGGAAGACATAGAGAATGGCCATCATGGAGAAGATGATCACGGAAGCTGGGATGGCAGATGGTCTCGTCCAACAGAGCGACAAGTGAACACAGTTCACAAACTACAAATGCAGTGGCCTTCCGGATCGAACAGCGACGCCAGAGAAGCCCTGACCACTGCGGCTCAAGGACGTGAACTTCGATGGTCAGAGATGAATGAAGAGACAAGACAAGAATTCCGTCTTGCAGCGGATGACCAATGGAAGAAATGGCTGGAGAATGAAGCTGTGATGGTGTTAGGCCCTGATGAGTCCCGAGCGGTGGAACAAGAGTTGGAGCGAAAAGGTGAGCTTGAGAGAATCCAAGGTTCATCCTGGTTGACAAGAACGCCAAGCTCCGATCTCCTGAGTGCCCGCTTCCGCTGAAGGCAAATGCACGGATCATCGTTCCTGGATTCCGTGACCTTGCCAACCTCAATGGAGAGCTGAGAACAGATTCCCCAACGGCTTCAAGAATAGCTCAACATGTTGTTTGCTATGTTTGTGCCTGTCATCCAGAATGGTGTCTTCTCAGCGCGGACGTGCGCGCAGCTTTCCTGAAGGGCGACCCCTATGTGCAGCGGCAACTGTACATCAGAGGAACCAACCCGAAGCTCGGTCCGAGCATCGGAATCCCCACTGGGTGTGTGGCCAAAATCCTCAAGGGCATTTTTGGTCTTGCTGATGCACCTCGTGAGTGGTACCTTCGACTAGCCCGTGAACTTGGAGAGGACAACTGGATTCGGTCAAGTCTTGACCTGGCACTATGGCTTAAGTTCAACAAGGAGAACGAGCTCACAGGCATTCTAGCAGCGCACGTCGGCGACCTGTTGATGTCTAGAGACAAGGATGCTGAAGCATCATTGGTTCGACTTGGTGAACGGATTGGCTTTGGTTCTATGGACTCCCCACCATTCAGTTGGTGTGGAAAGACCTTCAGTCGAGAAGCTGATGGCCGAGTGACCTTGACTATGACAAGGTACCATGAGAACCTGACTGGCATGCAGCTAACACGCAAGAGACGGAAGGACGTCTCAAGCTTGCTCAATGCCGCTGAGGTGAAGAAGCTAAAAGGAGTTCTAGGAGCCCTACAGTGGTTGGTGGCACAACTTCGCTTCGACATGTCCTTTGCGGTGAGCAGCTTGCAGTCTGAGCGAGCAACGGTTGGAACTGCGCTTCGAGTAAACAAAGTGGTGGAAGAGGCAAAACGCCATAAGGACTTCACCCTGCAGTTCAAGGCCGTGGACTACAAGCTTGGCGGCATCATGGTGGTGACCGACGCAGCTCTTGGCAATGTCAATGCCAATGGATGCACTGAGGCCATGCCGGCCGAAAAAATGCACAGTCAGTCCTGCTACGCGGTGCTCCTCGCCGATGAGCAGATGATGCTTGGAAAGCACGGACACTTCAATGTCCTGGACTTTCGCAGCCATCGGTTGCAAAGGGTCTGTCGCAGTTCCTACGCGGCAGAGACGCTGGGATGCGAGGAAGGGCTTGATGCGGCAGAGTTGCGCCGTGGCTTCATCGCCGAGCTCAGAGGCATCGAAGTCGCAAGCCGAACAGGACACCTCAATGTCTGTCAGGTGAACCTCGTTGGAGTCACTGACGCGAAAGACGTCTATGACAGACTCTCCCAAGATGTTGGGTTTGGTGCGCAGAAGAGCCTTGCCTTTAGCGTAGCAGCTCTTCGACAACAACTTCGAAGACCTGGAACCTCCATGAGATGGACGAGCAAGGCGAACCTCTTCGTGGACAGTGGCACGAAGATGATGGACAATAGTGCATTGCGAGAGACTTTGCAGAAAGGTGAGTGGTCGATTGAGTACAACGAAAGTTTCACAAAACAGAAGAAGAAAGAAGCCAAAGTGGCCGACATGGTGGATGACCTACCTGGTCGCGCAGTGGAGGCAAAAGATGAGGCCTTGATGCGCCATGTCTACAAGCTGGCGGAACAGAGTGGATGGCACTACGTTGAAGGTGTCGGGATTCATGTGGCACACAATGCCAAATCCCTGAGGAGTCCACAACCCAGGTACTCCCTGCGGGACTGGAGTTCCTATGCCAGCTGGAGGACCAAGACCGGCGAAGTGGTGTGGCGAGTGCTGGAAGAGAAGATCGACCTCAAGGACTTGAACAACCAGCAGGAGCAGTGGACGCACCGATGCCGGCAGCTGGTCACGTTTTACACCAGCGGTCCTCGGGCCACATAAAAAAGGATCCGTGTGAAAGAGCATGGATGGCCCTCGGACATGTTTCACTGTTGTCACCGCAGGCGCCTTGAGCATCTGGCTTCGAGCCAAACAGTGTGCGAGTGTTCTTGGCCCCTTAGATTAGGTGTGTTTGAACCTCCGCTGTTTAACAAGAATCAACAATTGAGACGGAGTGAAACATGTGTTGGCAAATGAGTCACTATTGGCCGTTGTAATGGGCTGTGGAGATCGTCAAGCATGTCTTAGAGACATCATGAATCCAGTAAGTGCTACCATTCACAGAAGGATCACATCCTCAATCGCTTCCAATGTAAGCGCGGAACCCCGCACCGATGCAAGCGCGAGTCTACGTTGCCGGCGCATGTTTTCAAGCACCTGACAAAGAGCCTTGCGTTTCCTTATACAAACATGATCAAAGATTCAACTTTCTAAAGTTGCGCAAACGAAACAAAAACCATTCAACACTACTAGCAAAATTGAGCCGATTTGGAATTTTGCAGCCCAAAACGGATCGATCCACTACGCAATCTGTACTTCGAAGTGCAGGATCATTGTTCTCAAAGCTGTGGAGTGCCATCAGTAGACCCTTGTCGCTGCTGGAACTCCCAAATTGCTTGATTGTATGGGCTGCTTGGAAGCTCGAAGTCGCCATGTGGACGCTTCAGCGTGACACACTCTTAGCATATTGAGCATTGGGGGGGGCATGAAGTACGGAGAGTTGGAAGCAGAGTTGGAAGGAGGGCGAAGCTTGAGCAAGACCTGGCTCTACTGTATCCTTCTGCGATGTGATTTCTCAAGCACACCAGGAAGCCTCACATCAGCATCATGGATACAAGTCATGCAGCTCCACCTTGGCTGTTTGGCCAGAAAGCTTTGTAGCAAAGTGTTCTTGTGTCAGGGCCTTTTCTTAGCAAGTGCAGTTTACCCCTTGGTGCCCTTTTGATTCCGATTCATGTTCGCCCATATGACGGCTGCTGCAAGTTGGGTGGGCTAGCTGCTAGGTGTGGTCACTGTAGTCTTCCTTATAGCACACCTCATGCATACACACCACAGCCATTTGGGCGCACGTAAAAGGTGCGCTTGCTATATCTGAGATTTGCGTCACCCTTGAATACACGTTCCTTCTCCTTTGGTGGTCCTACTTTCCTTTCGTTTGTATGAAGTTAGAGCCTTTACACTCTCTCTCTCTCTCTCTGAGTAGGAATTGTGCGCCTAGACAATCAGCGCCCTTGTTCTTGGAACGAATCTTTTGTTGCGCTGTATTGAGTTGGTTCTTCATACTTGAACATACAATTCGGCCGTCGGCGAAAATTCCTTAAGTGCTTCGTGGTCAATGGAACATACATTCTGTTTGGATATTGAACTTGTTTGCGCAACTTTGTGCCTAGGTTTTGCGATTGCGTTTCACAATTTTTGTGTTGCTGGAAAATGTTTTCGACATGTAAAAGCTGCTTGATTGGCACTGTGTTTCTGGCATTGTTCGCGCATACGTCATGCGGGCACATGTACAGTACATACATCCGCTTCTTAGATCAGATGTACTTTTCTGCTTAGTTTTGAAAAACATCCTCTTTACTTGTCAATATTCGCTTGGTTTGCCTGCTTTTGTGTAGACTATGCGCTTGCGTGTCCAAATGTGTGGCTTGCCTGGTGCCAGAACTTAAAGCATGGTCCCTCTGACAACTGCGTTCATTGTACCTTTCGTGTACTGTATAAACCTTCGTCCTCAGCTGCATTTTCTGTCTGCATTGGTGATCAGATTTTGCTGTCGTTTGTATACAGTTCTGTCACTTTCATTCTTTGTCCGAATAGAACATAGGCGCCTATGTGTATGTGTATACACCCCTCTTTGGTGCGAATCTTTTCTTGCTCTGTATTGAAATGGGTTCTTCAGACGTTCACACCATGCGCAGACACTTGAGCACTTTGACATACAGTTCGACCATCGCCAAACATTCCTTAAGTTCTTCGTGGTCCATGGAACATACAATTTGCTTGGATATTGAACGTGTTGGTGTAACTTACTATATCTTTTTGGATTGGATTTCTTGTCTTGTGTTTTTATAAAAATTGCAATCGATATTCGATACGTGAACATACAATGCAACGAACAACGCTCGCAGAAGGATGCTTTGCTATTGGGGTTGTCAACTCGGTTAATTAGAGCATTTGTTGAAACATTCTTATTGTTGAATGAGGCTAGACCATGATTCAAACTTATTTGTTAGTTGTAAGTTGTGACTGACCGTCTGTTCTTACTGTGTAGTATCCTGTTACTGTACGGGATCCAACAGCACTTGTCTCCTCGATTCGATTGTCACCCGTAGTCAGTTGCACGCTGCGTGCTGCGGCCGATATTGGCATATACATTTTTGTTGGCATTGCATTTCTCAGCCAGTCCATCACATATTTGCATAGGCCTAGAAACGTGGGATTGTCAGTGACAAGGAGAGTTGAAGCAGATGTGGACCATACAATCGTCGCACCTTCGACACTATAAAAATATAAAGACTGGCTGTGGACCAGCATCTCAGCAGGATAGGGAGCACCAGGAGTTACCACTTGTGACGAAAAACCAACAACATACGAGAAATCACCACCTGCGATTCTTACTCAATGAGGCAGGCAAGATGTCCCCTATCGTTTTCATGCCAGTGTTTCTTCGGCCACCATTCTCGCAGCGCAGGTACAGCACTTGCAGAAGCTAGACGCGAAAGGAAACAGCGTGAGCGGGCCGAGTTTCAGCCAATTGCAGCAATGTTCAAGTCACTGGCTGATACTTGGCAACTATCAATATGTATATATATATATCTACTTGGTTTGTCAAGAGGAATTCTTTTACTGGAGCTGTTTGCTTTGTGTAAGGAGACGATTGTGAGGGCAAAGCTTTTCTTTTTTGGAAGGCCTTTAGAAGGGCGTGAACTTTCGCCCAAACTGTTTTCGTTTCTTTTAATTAAAGTCTTTGGAGAGTCTTTGGGCACCTCACTGTAACAGTGCGCAAGTCCTGGCCTAGCTGCGTATTCTAGTGCCCATCACCACTAGGCCACATGTATTTAACATGTATTCTAAACGTTGTCTCTTGGGACATGAACAGTAAATTTGCCAGGGAGAACACGACCTTCAAATCCATTCTAGCACCAGTCATCACCCTGTCCATCGCGACACGTGTCTACCATGAAGCCAAGATGTTTCATGCATGTTGTTTGAAGCTGTGATGTGAAGGACACCAACGACATGTGAAAACATGCGTTTGCCTTTTGTTCAAAGATTTCTCCAGGACTCCAGGAGTTTGCAACATGAGGTCTACAATGGGATTGAATCTAGAATCAAACTACAGACTTTGGTAACCAAGTTTTCCGAGTTGCTATCTGATCAACGCCAAAACTGGCCCTGTGTTGCTTATTTGCATGTGCTTTCATACCGCTGCTGGCTCCAACTCAACGGTCCCTGTCACTCCAACGCCAGAAATGAATGCTGAGTTGAAGGACAAGAACCGAAGGGGCCTTCCCTTCCTTTCTTCTTTTATGTTCACTCGCGAGAAAGCCAGTACTCTTCACCGCTCTGTGCGAAGCATTGCCAAGCACTCAAGTCTGATCTGAGCATCTGAGCTTTGTCCCACCTCGCAAGAAATGTTGCCTGGCTTCTGGGTGTTCCACCAGCGTTTGATGGTATTGGCAGCATTGGCCATTGTGCCTCCGATCTACAGAAGTTGAATGACATTCACACCATCTCTCTAATTGAAACTTTTGGTAAATCTTGTCCAGGCTTGTGATGCTGCCAGTAGTAGACAGGTGAACGGGACATGTTTGAAGAAGTGTGATCTTTGCAAGTGAGAAGGATGGAGGAGGATTTCTGCAACAAGGTTCCATGTTTCCGGCTTTTGAGGAAATCAGAGCGCCGGTGGGTAGTCTTGAAATGCACCCAAGCTCCTCAACGGAGTATCCAGTACAGAAAGGACCACAGGATGGTGAAGTTTGGCCAGGAACATTCATAGAGAACGAGCATATTCTATGTGTCTTTGGTCAGGAACAACAGAAAACACGTTTGACGCGTCCTCTTCCTACAGTGCACTGCCTAAGGAGAGAGCTGCCAGTTCTGAATGCGATGAGCTCTGTTCCTTGGACTGGTCATGGCACAAGGAAGCAAAGCGGAGCGAGCGATGAGTGCTCGGCGAGCTTGAAACACATGTATATACTATTACTGTAAGGTCTGTTGAATGTTGTTGTTCAGTATGTATCTATTTTGTAACAACGGTGTGGATAACGGATAATGCATTTTTTACTTGTTCTGCAAGTGTGTGCACGCATCCGGCTCCCCAGCAACGTGCCGCGCTTACCATTGCGTTTCCCAATTGCGTTTCCCAATGGCACGGAGCCACGCAAACACACTGCCACCAAGGCCGCGTGGCGCAGCGACGTCGCACACGTAATTTTGCCACGCGGTGTACGACAGACTGGATACAACAGTGTCGCAATATGTAACACCCAGCCTCGTGGACGCAGCCAGGCAGCCCGCTTTTTAGCGACGTGCCAGTTTTTCGTTTCCCAATGGCATACTTTGCTTCACCCAGGCCGCGCAAAACCGCATGGCGCAGCGACATTGCAGACGTAATGTCGCTGCACGGTGTGTGCCACACAGTTACACACTTTGGCAACTTCCCCCTTCATTTTCCATTTTCGGCGACAGCTGCACTCTTTCGCAACTTCCCTTTTTGTTTTCGACGACAGTTACAGTTACACACTTCTCTTCGACGACAGTTATTCCCCAAACAGTGTGGTCACACTAGGGGTTCTTACGGTAATAGAAAAGCATGTGTGCTTAGATCGCTGTTCCGCGCGGCCGTGTCCGGCTAATTCGTTGCTATGTACAGCACACTCTGCCTCTCGACATCGTCAATGTGCATTTCAACTGCGCAGGCTCGCTGAATCTGGGGGCTGGCGGCGGGTGCTTCTAGCGATTGTGCTCTCATTGTGGTGCCGTGCGCATTTTGGTACATGGTGGTCACTTTTCGTGGCAGGTGCAAGGGAAACCTCGTGTTTTGGTGCTCCAAAGTCGACTTTTGATCGGAGCTGTTTTACTTCGAAGTGCAGTTTTCGCGGCAGGTGCAGCACTTTGGTCGAAGAGCTTGGATTTCGTGACAGATGCAGTGAATCGTGACTTTTGGACATGTGGCTCGCTTGCAGATTTCGTGGCAGGCACAGCGTTTGGTGAACCTCGAAGTGCAAATTTCGTGGCAGGCGCAGCGCTTGGTAAACCTTGAAGTGCAGATTTCGTGGCAGGCGCAGCACTTGGTGAACCTCGACGTGCAGAGTTAGCACTTTGTGAACCTCGACGCGCAGAGTTCGTGACAGGCACAGCGCTTGGTGAGCCTTGATGCGCAGAGTTCGTGACAGGCACAGCATCCTGGTGTGGTTCCACCCAGGTGCGCTCTGGTCACTGCGGGCAACCCGCTCACTAGTATTCATAAGCATTCTTCCTTTCACTCAGGCTTGCGTTCATTGTCGCACCCTCGCTCATTCTCACTCGCTCACTGATTCGCTCACTTGCTGCGTTTTCTGGCGCTTGTGTTCTCAGATGTGTGATCGTCTAGCTTGCAGATCTGCTTTCTGTCTTCTTACGCTGACAACGTCCACTCTAACTCTGACTTTCTCGCTCTCACTCGCACTCACACGCCCAGGTTCACTCTCACTCACATGTGCAGATTTCGTGGCAGGCGCAGCACTTGGTGAACCTCGTGCAGATTTCGTGGCAGGCGCAGCGCTTGTGGTGAACCTCGACGCGCAGATTTCGTGGCAGGCCGCCTGGCAGGCACAGCGCTTTGTGAACTTCGACGCGCAGAGTTCGTGACAGGCACAGCGCTTTGTGAACCTCGATGCGCAGAGTTCGTGACTCACTAGTATTCGTAAGCATTCTTCCTTTCACTCGGGCTTGCATTCATTGTCACACTCTCGCTCATTCTCACTCGCTCACTGATTCGCTCACTTGCTGCGTGTTCTGGCGCTTGTGTTCTCAGATGTGTGATCGTCTAGCTTGCAGATCTGCTTTCTGTCTTCTTACGCTGACAACGTCCACTCTCACTCTGACTCCCTCGCTCTCACTCGCACTCACAACGCCCAGGTTCACTCTCACTCGCATGGCTTCTCATTCTCACTCACGCTCGCATTCACGGGCTCATTCATGATTCTGATCACTCACGCGCTGCGTGGTCTGGTGACCGTGATCTCAGATGTGTGCTTTTTTGACTTCTGTAGACACCTGAAACTCTAGCTTGTTGTCATGTGTGTGCGCTCTTCTTTAGACTCTTGTTTCTAGAGCGATCTGTCGCGGTTACGCCCAGCTATTCTTCTGGCGTGGTTCCACCCAGGTACTTTCGGCAGAGCTTGGTTTCTTTCTAGAGCGATCTCTACTTGTGTAGGCTTTTTTTCCCCAAACGGTGTGGACACACTTGGGTTCTTACGGTAGGGGAAAAGCAGGTGTGCTTAGATAGGTGTGCCGCGCGGCCGTGTTCGTTGCTATTTACAGTACATTCATGCCTCTCCACATCGTCAATTCACAAAGTCTGGGTGAACCGGGCGGGTGCTTCTAACGACTGGGCTCTCGTTGTAGTGTCGCGCGCATTTCCGCGCATGATGGTCACTTTTCGTGGCAGGCGCAAGGGAAACCTATGGAAACCTCGTGTTTTCGTGCTTCAAGGTCTTTTCGTGACAGGTGCAAGGGATCGGGGCTGTTTTTCTTCGAAATGCATTTTCGTGGCAGGCGCAGCGCTTTGGACATGGCCATGAGTGGTGGTGATCGTCAGCGCCGTGACTTTTGGACATGTGGCTCGCTTGCAGATTTCGTGGCAGGCGTAGCGCTTGGTGAACCTTGAAGTGCAGATTTCGTGGCAGGCGCAGCACTTGAAAAACCTCGAAGTGTAGATTATTTCGGGCAGGTACAGCACTTTGTCAACCTCGAAGTGCAGATTTCGTGGCAGGCGCAGCACACTTGGTGAACCTCGAAGTGTAGATTTCGTGGCAGTTACAGCGCTTTGTGAACCTCGACGCGCAGAGTTCGTGACAGGCACAGCGCTTGGTGAACCTCGATGCGCAGAGTTCGTGACAGGCGCAGCACTTTGTGAACCTCGAAGTGCAGAGTTTGGCGCAGGCGCAGCCCTTTGTGCCCTGAGATGCTCACTCTCACACCCGCGCTCTCACTCACTCACAAAGGCTCACACTCACACCCACTCACACTCACTCACACTCACACTCACTGACTCACTGACTCACTGACTCTCTCACACTCTCACACTCTCACTCACTCACTCACTCACTCAGTCACTCACTCAGTCACTCACTCACTCACTCACTCACTCACTCGCCCACTCACTCACTCACCCACCCACCCACCCACTCACTCACTCACTCAGTCACTCAGTCACTCAGTCACTCAGTCACTCAGTCACTCAGTCACAGTCACTCACTCACTCACGCACTCGCTCACTCACTCACTCACTCACTCACTCAGTCACTCATTCACTCACGCGCGCGCGCGCGCGCGCACGCACGCACGCGCGCACGCACGCACGGCACGGCGCGGCACGGCGCGGCACGGCACGGCGCGCCATGGCACGCCATGGCACGCCACGGCCCGTCACGCCGCGGCACGCCACGCCAGGCCACGCCACGCCGCAGAGGGTCACGTTTCGCAAGTTCTCGCACGCCAGGATGTCGGCTAAGGAAGAATAGATAGAAAGCGCCGAGATGTCAGAAACACGCGCGAACCCAGATTTGCCATAGCAAAACGATGTAATGCAAGTTGGCCAGCGAAAGTTACACGCACTATTTTGCAGGTGTGCTTAACGAAGCAAAGCCCCAGTGACAATTACCATGTTGCAGATGTGTTTGCTGAAGCGAGACCCTCGCGAAAATTACATTAGCTACTTTGCAGGTGTGTTTACTGAAGCAAGACCCCTGCGAAGATTACATTAGCTATTTCGAGGTTGTGCTTACTGAAGTAAGAGCTCAGCGAAAGTTAGTGCATCGTATTTACCCAGCAACACAAAGATCTACCCCTTGCGCCGCTGTGCATCTACATTGGCAACTCCAGGAATGCATCTCACGCAGTAGCAAGCTATAGGTGTGCTTGTGGCAGACATGCAAACAACAGATGTACAAGTCTTACGTGTGGTACTTGCACATCTAAAGGAGCAACTGTAATACAACCAGATCGGTAATGCCAACCCTTTTTGTAGAAGAACCCTTCGCAGACCACCAAAAACACACGCACACATATTATATCAGAAATTATAAGTTCAGATTGCAAATAGATCTGCATCATATGTTCTTCATACACACATATATATATACACATTTGTTAGTGATTGCTTCATTAGATTGCATTTGCTTTGCGTTTTCAGGTAAAATTTTCATCCCTGAGAGCAAACCACTTCAGTCACGAAGTGGCAGCGAGCCTTGGACACATGCTGGGGTGATATGGGGTGTGGATTTGATTGGTGAACAACTGGTGCTGTTCACAGCGGGTATGTTCACAGCGGGTACTCTTAGCTGGCGCCATCCCGACCTATTACACGGTGTGAGTTAGCAATTCAATATGTCCTTTTCACGGGTGAAAGACGACCGCTATGGATTTATGACAAAACTGCTCAGACACAAAAGCCATATGCCTTTGACTCGCCTGAAGCCAAAATTCAACCACCTGTTGCCAAATCTTTGGAACACCAAGCTTCTACATCAAGAGCCATTGTTTGTTATCTAGAGAATACCTTCCAATGCGAATTATTCCCTAGATACAAAAGGAATCCTGTGCTTCATCTTTGGTCAGGCTGGGTTTTCATCGTAGTCTCGTAGGTGGCATGGCTTCACGCCCTACCTTGCCAAATGCAGACCAAGTCATTAAGTTTCTCAGTGATTACTCATCACTGCCTGGCCAACCTTACCCGTTAAATGTTCGTTTGCCAATCGCACCGGTTTCAGACTATGCAAGATCAGTTTTAGATCTACCTTCTGAACCGGAGTTTCGTTTATACCAGAAAGCGCGCAAATACATTCGCAATAAGAAACGCATTTTTGATATACCACTTAGATGCCTTCGTAGCTTAATTCACTTTTGCTTCTTCCTGTGTATTAAACCGCGAAGTTGCATAGGGTGGTTCTTTGTTTCACTGCACGTTTTTGTTCCACCCCACCTATGTGGAAGGGCTTTCACGACGGGAGACATGTCCGCAAGTTGTGTGTGGTAGTGTGTTTCAAGTTGAGCCTGCAGAATGAGGATTGGCATGTACTCAGCTGAAGAAACCTTTGCAGAAGCCAACAGTGTCCTGCCCAGACACGATCTTTGGGAAGACACTTGTAACTGGCAAGGTTTTTATTGGACTGATGAAATCAAATGAATGCCATTGTCCTTCAGGCTTTAGCGTGGTGGAAGTCACAGTCGGCACAGGCAAGCTATAAATCAAGAGGTGGCTTGATCACTTGACCTCGACTAGACTCGCTGTTCGACCAACTTTCCAATAGTTTCAAAGCCTAGAAAATATTGTTGGTGAACCATGCCTACAAAGGTTCAATAACAAGATTGATTACTTTACTGGTATAAGTTCAATGGCACCTCAGTACAGACGACATCCACAAGGGTTACAGCTCGGCTGAAGAAGCAGAAACTTGGGTTTGTCGCAGGTTTGATGGAATACTTTGCCTTTGACTGGTATGAAAATCTGCAAGAAGACAGACGCCCATGGGTCAGGGAGCTCTGCATATTTTCGGCACATGTACTTCGAAGTCTTGCAGGATATGTTGAAGGAGCAATGTAATCAATCATATGATCAAATCGGAAATTGTCTTCAAAAGTCTTCACATCAAGCTGTGTTTGAGGCAATGCAGCTAGCATTGCTGGCAGAATGTAACGCAAAACGACGAAGCGAACGCCCGGCATGCTTGCACTATCCACATAGGTCATAAATATATCTAAAACTACATGTAAGTGGTCTAGGAAAAGTCAACTATGGCTTGTTTGCAACGTGGCTTTGTAGGGGCCAAATTAGTCAAGGAACCTCACACAGAGCACGATAAGAGTAGAGGCCAGTAGAGGCCACAAAGAAATGTTCGATGTAAGGACAGAATGAGAGGGACGCACACAGACAAGGCACACGCATGTGAAAGCCAGCCCAACCTAAACCCGAAGAGTCAACCTGGCTGGTTAACCGTCCCGCTTAGGTCTATTGAATCTGTGGCATCACAAAAGCCCCTCCAAATTTCGTTTACATTCAGGTGCACAAAACGAGAAGTGTACCTGTTCCAGTCAGGTGAACTTGCCATTCGATGAACATCGTTTGGCTCAAGGTTGCGCGGAGAAAAGGATCCGTGCATCACGACACACACCCAACCTTCCCTAGGTTATGAGCCCAACCTGCTGATGGGTTGTGGCTGGCTCACTTGTGGTGAGTTGCTGGTCCCCATGGAGCAACACCAAAGACGCAAGCAGCAGCGTTCGAGAGAGCGAAAAGAAGAGGCTGCTGCAAAGGAAGCTGCCGCTGCCAAACCTCAGCTGGAGGTTGGAGTCGCTGACCGAAAGCTCGACGCCTTGATCGAAGAGGAGCTTCGCTCGAGGGCCAAGTCGGCGCCGGCATCGTCGTCCACGGCAGAAGTGAAACGTTTGGGAGCTTCCACTGCGGAATCGTTGAGGCCACCGCAAGGACCGCCTGTGACTTACCACCCTCAACATCCTGCACAAGACCAAGTACACCAGCTGGTGATGGATCCTAGGGGACAGTCCATGGGTTTGGGGCATCTCCAAGAAGCGGTGCGCCGCTCGTTTGACGTTCTGCAGAACGCACTTCGGGGACCCCACAGGTCCAACACTACTTGATCCACTCCTTCGCTAGGGACTTTCTCATGTACACGATCATGGAGGTCTTCCAGGGCAAGCGTTGGCGGCTGGAGGCCCGGTCAGGGAAGTGAGATCTGATCGGGATGGATCCATGGTTTCTCCAATGATGGGATCGGTGGGCCGCGAAGCTCTCCATCCACGAACGCTGGATCCCTATGCGGCGGCAACTCCGGTGGGGCCTCTCAGCACTGTGAATCCGTTTTGGAGCACTTCACTGCAACAAGCTGCAAAAGGTGAAGGGCATGTTCGTATGGCTGAAAGCAGTGGAAAGAAAGCTGCGCCTTCCAGTCCCGGAGCTGGCGATGTCGAGAAGATCCGAGCTCAGATCCTGCGAAAGGCGGAGGACAAGTTCGCTCGTGAAGTCAAAAAGCTGACTGATGCTGGAGGAGTGGGTGACGCTTCTTCCTATGCTTCAGCGGCGAGCGCTGGTTCGGGTGACGGTGGCCGCGCTCTACCTGAACGTCCTGGACTACCTCCTGGTGATCCATTGGGCGCGGGAGTTCCGCCTGGCGCCAAGACGGATTTTCCTCCAGGTCTTCATGCTGGACGACCTCAAGGTGACTCGACACTGCCTCCGGTGATTCCGGAAATCGTGAGTCAGGAGGTTGGATCTTCCGAGCTTGCCTCATCCCTCATCTGAAGGAGCTGCTCTTCAGTATGGAGATTGGTTGACTGTGACCTATCCGCTGATGGCTGACCTTTCGGCGACTTCGTGGTGGGGGGGATGCCTGGCTGCAGCAGGTGAACTCTATGAGAAGTGGCCGACTGCCAATTGTTTGGAGCGCCTTCGCTTGCGCCCTGTGGAGAACACCGACCCACCAACCTGTTGAACAGCGTGGTGTATCGCTCCTCCTGAGCATCTAGAGACATCATCGCCAACAGAAAGGTCACCACTGTGAGCATCCTCGTTCGACTTCATGTACTTTTTCAACCAGGTGGCGGGGCTGAGAGGACCACGCTGCTGAAATGTTTGACTGACGTGAAGGCGTCCAACAACATCCAGGACTGGAGACGATGGCTCCAACGAGCTGCGTGAAGAACTGCGACAGCCCCTGCCTGATCCGATCATCCTCGTCGTTCAGGTGTTGGGGAAGTTGGGAGGCAGTCAAGTTGCCTACCGGTGTCATCGGTGAGGCAGGATTTGGCGGTGGGTTTGAGGCCTGATCTTCAGTCCATCAAAGACCTCGAACACTTGACACATGTGGCTTTGCACACTCCTGGGACGGGTTGGATCGTCAGCAGAGATGTTTCTTCTGTTCGGGAGAAGGTCACATGATGAAGGATTGTCCCCACCGTCAACAGAAGGGAACCAAAGACTTCAAAAAGAATGCCAAGGTAAAGGGCACTGCTGAGGACATGTCGAAGGACAGTCCTACCAAGGAAACACAACAACAGAAATCTGAGGCTTCGGGAACTACATCGAGTTCATCGCTCTTGTCATCGCCTACGGTGTCTGGAGGTGGATCGGGGAGGATTGGTGGTGGAAGGAGTTGGGGGGTGACCAAAAGTCAAAGCAGGGCTATGAAAGCGGTTCGCCTGAAGCAGATCTGCGTGGAGACTGGCTTTCAAGGTTTTGCACTCCTCGAATGGCACACCCTGATGAACGGGGTGAAAATGATTCCAATTGAAGTCGAACTTGCTCAAGGTACGACAGTTTTGTACCGCCATCCCAAGCACCGCACCCTTTTGTCCTTGGAAGAGGTGGAGCCGATCATCCCTTTCAGGCTTTTGGTGGAACGGGGCTGCAAGGTGGAGTGGCGAAAGACGGGTTGCAGTATCCGTCGCCCAACTCTCGGTGCGATTGACTGCTGGCTTCGAAATGGATGCCTCACAATGCACCGTCAACCTGCTTTGGACATGCTCTCCCAGATCGAGCTCGAGGATCAGGGGAGGTGGCGCTCTCTGATGAGGACTGGAGGTGCGTTGAATTTCCTGAACTACCACATCCAGTTCTTCAACACATGGCTGGTCAGAGCCAAGACCCAAAAACTATGCCCTGGAACCGACGAATTCGAAGCAAGGCGATGGCTGTGATGATCGTCCAGCCGTCGAACCTCGGTGACCGCATTCGCACTTCGAAGGCCTGGGCTGCATGGGCTCCAGGCCTTGTGGCTGCGATTCAAGAAGCTTTGAGGAGGTTGTTTGGCGTTTTGGAGGAGGAAAAGGGGGCTGGAGATTGTCACCATGTTTCCAAAAGGACCTTGCAGCTTGGCATCGACGCACCAAACAGGGTCACATCCCCTTTCGCGCTGACTGCCGCATTTGTGGGGAAGCTATGGGCTGCGATAAGCCGCGCAAGAGGCTTGGGGGGAGTGCCACGAAGTTCACTATGTCGGCTGACCTTTGTGGGCCCTTTCCTGAAGGAAAAGATTGGGGCACAGGGGTCATTTGCAAGTACGCATTGGTCTCAACTGTGGCTGTCCTCATCATCTCCGAGCTTCCAGGTGAGGTCACTGAGCCCTGCGACACCGCCAAGGATGTGGAGCACACGGAGGAGTTGCCCTGTGAGCCTGAAGACCGTGACCTTGTGCCTGAAGATGAAGTCCGGAGGCTCAATGGAATAGTCGGCTTCTCCATGCCAAGCCTCTCGCAAAGCCGGGTCCACTTCGGCCATAATGTCCATGTGGTCAATCACCTCTGTCTTCAGCTCGGCGCCGCTGATGCCCTCGTGCAACCTCAAGGACATCAAAATGTCACACTGGCTGAAGTGATCCCTGATCGCGCGGTGGAGTCACTGGTCCGTGCCTTGTCCCGCTTGCGCGCCAAGTACCGCGCCCAGGTGTACAGATTGCGCACCGATCGTGAACGATCATTTGCTTCAGTGCCAATCCAAAACTGGTTTGAGCAGCGTCAAATTCGATTGACTATGACAGCTGGTGATGATTCTAAGGCCAATGGCCGCGTTGAAGGAGAAGTGAACCAACTGGATTCTTTGGACTGGTTTTCGTCTTCGGAAGTTGGCAAGTCGCTTTCACTTGGTTTTGAGCCCCGGGGAGTTGGAGGAGGTGAAGGGGGACCACGTGCTCAATGAAAAAGATGAACTTGGTGATGAACTTTTGGACCATGACCTTCAGGGGGAGGTCGAAGATTCAATGTTTTGTGTGCATGGCAGCAAGCCGAAAAATGGCATGAACTTGAACAACAACGGCGCTGGGCACTTAAACAGCTCTGGTGTCAAGGTCTTCGTGAAGTGGCCGTCGGTGAAGATTCTGGCAGCGTCCATGGCAGCTGGCTTCATGAAGTTGAACTACTTCTGAAGGGTGCTGAAGATCAATTGTCGTTCCAGCACTCTGCAATTCAGGACTTCAAGCTGTCAGCTTTTGCTCCAACAATGGGAACTACAGATGCTCCAGCTACAGTGCTTCAGACCTACACGCTCGCGCTTCAACAAGTGCACGAGGAGCTTGAGAAATGGAAGCCTCCACTTCGTGATGAATATGGACAGTTGGTGACCTCAACACAAGCAATAAAACCAACTGCAGAGGAAAATCTTTGCTTGGATCCACGTTTCCCGACGATGGAACTGCCACCTGCGATGCTTGTCCCCACTGTGTCAAAAGTCCCCATGGTCGCCTTCGAGCCAGAGGTGATATGTGGGAACCATCTTGCAAAAGTCAACGAAGCAGCCGGTGACCATGAAGGTGAAACTTCGGCCAAGGAGCAAAGCCCCTTTTCGCTGTATGCGTGTGGAGCGGACGGGACGACTCTTCGTTGCCTCATGCGCTGTGCAGCTGAGAGGTCATGGGCCGTCGGAGCGGTGGACATTAAGACCGCTTTCCTTCTTGCTCCACGACCAGACGAAAAAGAAAGACTTCTCGTCGGTCGCCCTTCAAAGGTGTTGGTCGAAGCTGGAATTTGCGCTCCCACAGAATTGTGTCTCACGCGGTCTACGGGTTGAACGATGCCCCGGCCAACTGGTCTACCTCAACGCTTGTCTGCAGGAGGCCATGACTGGCACCACGGGGAGCGAATCGGTCGAAAAAGAAAAGACTAGATTGGCTAGGGAAGATGAACCTACCGCGCGGGAGGGTTTGGAAGGGTTGGGACCTAGTCTAAATGGCTAGGCTATATACTCCGGCCGCGTCTCGTGCGAGCGTTCAGGTGTTCGGCTGGGGCTGGCTGCGCTGGGTGCGCGCGTCGCGCCGGTGCAGCCGGAAGAGCGGCTTTGGGAATGGTATCCCTTCATGCTGCCACCACAAGGCCGTGACCGCTGGGGCCGTCTTCGATATGGATGGTGGGCGAGGCATCATGTCAGGCCGCGCCAACGACCTTTTCATCCACTGCATCGCATGACGCCGTTCAACGGAGCTCAAATCCGACATCAGCGAGTCACAGTGGTCTGGCATCATGGCAAAAGGCACATTTTCTATGATGACTGAGGAGCGGGATTGGCCCTGTGCTACCTGATCGGGATCAATGGGTGGGATATACCTTTTTTAGAGAGTTGCCGTCCCCGGAAAACAGCCTGGACACACTACAACCTCCACCGATCCGACAACAGGAAGCTCGGGTCCACCGCCAGTGAATGAAAATCCAGATGAACCTCAAGGGCAGGCGGCATTGTCTTCGGTGGCTGAGAATTCCACCGGCACTCCTCGTCCACCCCGGTTGAGCTTTTGAGCGAAGTGCGCTATGTACGACGCGGATCATCTTCATCTACGACCTCGCAGCTGAGTGACTGAGTGAACGGAGTCCTAGTGTGACTGGTTCCTCTGCTGTGGCTCGAGGTCTAGATGCTTATGCCGGCGTGACCCTCGGCTACATGGGCCGACTTGGTGGCTATGCTCTTCGCGGTGAACATCCGCGCCATGTGCCCACAGGTTTGGATGAAGATCAACGACGGCGCCCAGCTTTGAGCACCACCGAGAGCGAGAGTGAAAGAGATTGGAGGAGGAATTTGGATGTGAGCTCAGCGAGCTCTGTTCAGGGCCTGGAGACGACGCTACCTCCTGGACTCCCTCCGGTACATGAACGCTTGGACGAGGCACCGCAATGGATGGGCATTGCGAGCCAACTCCCACTAAGAAGGCCTAGAAGTGATGCACCAGGTCAATATGACCACCTGCTGGATCCGGACTCAGATTCAGATGGCAGCTACGAGCTGTGTGGCGGTTAAGGAACCACCCTTTTCTCAGGTTTGACCATGCGATGGTCACCGGGAGCGTGGCATGACAAAAGCCCCTCCAAACTTCGTTTGCATTCAGGTGCGCAAAACGAGAAGTGTACCTGTTCCACTCAGGTGAACTCGCCATTCGATGAACATCGTTTGGCTTAAGGTCGCGCGGAGAAAAGGATCCGTGCATCACGACACACACCCAACCTTCCCTAGAATCAATTGGAACACAATGTATATAGCTTCAGGGCTCGGCATAGTGTTGTCCCCGCAACATGAGTCTCGAGACGTGCACGCAAGTAAAACTGTGCGTTGCGTAAGATTGCGTAAGGTATGGTGACATTGCAGTGTGCACAGCAGTGTGTAAGCATGATTATGTTACTGTTGAAGGCTTTTTATAATTAGTATATTTTCTTTGCTGTTGCTATTGCAGGATCCGCTTTTGAATCGTGTGCATAGGTATGGTGTTGTGCAGCTTTTTTTCTGTGGCCGTGCGAGGCTTTGCAGCATTGTGCAAGTACGTGGTATCATTTGATATGTGTTTTCCACGGATCTTGCGAGAAATTTTGCCACATAAGCCGCGCGTAAGCAGTGCGGAAACAGTTGTTTTTTTCTCATTTTTTGTTTTGTGCATCCTTGTCCACGATGGTGCCCCAAAAGAAACGATTTGGTGATCTGTCACAGACAGCAGCAAAGGTCGTGCAGAATGTTGCTGACAACTTCCTTATATACCCAATTCATCAAGTTCATCAAGTTTATCGAGTCTTCTCCTTGAAATGCCTTGAATAAAAAGATGTGTGTAAACTGTGGCATGCAAATCAATATAAACAGTTAAGCGTAAGCGAAGCGTAAGCTCTTACACACAAGACTTGCAGCATAGGCAAGAACGGTGAATTGTGGTCGCGTAAACACAGCGTAAGCAATAGCGTAAGCAGACTCTTACGACCACGAATTTGATCAGGCCTGTTGGTCCACTGGTTCACCCCTGCCTCACGCCTAGTGACTAGTGGCTTGTTTCAGATTCTTGGTTTTGGGGATTTTGGAGGTGTTGGAATGTGCCTTGTGCTTGAAAGTGGGAGGAGTGGAAGACTTTGACGAACCCCAGCTCGCAGGAAGTCAGCGTGGAAGATGTCTCGAAGTCAACTTCCGTCCACTGGCTGCGGTTTGTCAGCGCACAGTGCACTTACTGTTAGCAAAACTCCATAACCTGACCACCAAAAAACTTCAAACCAGGACAACTGTGGCTCCGTTTACGAAGAGTTACCATTCGTGGGCCAGCAGCTCCGACTGGTCAGTTCCTTTTCCCTTTTCATGTGGCTTCGGTCCTGCACTCCGTGGCACGAGTGTTTCAAAGAATCCGAGAGTTTCTCCAAACAGTGCTCCACAAGTGTCTCACAAGAGTGCGTCACAGAGTTTCTTACCAAAGCGTCCTGCAAGAATGCCTTGCGGCAAAAGCGTCTTACAAAACTGTCACTCGAGAACTCGCGCTGCACAAGACTGCTTTGCAAGAGTGTCCCAAATAATTGTCTTACACAAGTGTATTGCAAGAATGTTTGGCCAGCCAGAGTCAGAGTGTCTTACACACATGTCTCGATCATCTTACAAGAGTGCATAGCAAGAGTGTCTAACAGAAGCTTGTTACACAATTGTGTTACCATGTCTCACGACAACCCATTCAACAGTGCTTTATAAGAGTGTTTGCAAAGGTGTCTGACAAGAGTGTACCCAAAAGTGTTCTCGCAAGTTTGTTGCTGTCTCAGAACTCTCACGCATATATATAATGTCTTATGACTGCTCCACAAAAGTGTGCTAGAAGAGTGTCACGCAAAGAACATGTTTCAGTGGTGTGTTGGCGCTGCCGGACCATATGCTCGAGCGCTCCTAGGAAGCACGATTTGCTGTGTCCGCTTGTTGCATGTGGGTTCGTGGAGTTTACAGTATTTGCAATTGCTCTGTGCGTTTGCAGATAGAAAGCAATTCATGTGCTTTACGTTTTGTTTTTTCCTGCCGTCAGGCTGGCGACCGCTACAACTCACCACCCGACGCAAATCCCAACCAGACCAACTTAATGAGAAGAGAACATCACAAGAAGAACAACAGCAAACACTAATGAAACAGTCTGCAACATCAAGTCGTGCATTGCAAATCAGCACATCTCCTTGCAATTCGCCGCCAACAAAAAATCATCACAGATCAGGATACCAAGGTCCAAATGACAGACAAAATCATTACGCTGGACAAATGACAGACCAGTACGCAGCGCTTTCTACGGACACTTCATTGCGTTAATTCTGAGCGCAGGGGTCTGTGGGTGGGCTTTCATGTGTTGCCACTGCCAGAAAGGTTTCCTATACGCCTATACTGTATAATTATATAAAGGATATGTATCTACGCACAATTTAGATTTCAACGAATATCATGTACCGGCACCCTGCGGGACGAAGCCGATTTGCCAGGCACAATCATTCCTTGGTGCCAGCCCTTAACCTGGACTTGTGCAGAATTTGAACGACATGGCGTTCTGCGACACAGAATAGTATACAATGTTTCAAAATTGTTTGAAACTCCTGTCACAGACTTTGGACTATATAGATTGCATGCACACTTGACGCTTTCAACTTGGCTTTGGCCTGGAGGTCAGAGCGTTGGGGGACCGCAGGCTTCAGCAGCTGAAGCCTACAGGCATGGATTCAGCCAAATATGTTGCCAGTCGCCTGTGATTTTAGAGCCCAGACAGCCCTGTTTGTGGTTTCGTTTTACAAAGGAAGGAAAGTAAAGTGGAAGTTGGATGAGGAAGCGGAAGGAGTTGATTTGGTTGAGTGAACAAAAGGAGGTTGCTCATCCTTTCTGTACTGTGAGAGGAGCGAAACCAAGTGAAACCAACTGCAGCTCCTCAGGTGAGTGACATTTTAACAACTGTGTTTGTTTTGACTGGGTTAAGCCTCCTTGCTGCCCCTTCCCTGCCCTTCCCAGCCTGCACCAAACTTTGATCGACAGCCGCGACAGCGTTGTGTTTTGGTTCCCTCGTCAACTGCTTTCTTTCATGCTGCACGGAATGCTGGCGCAACTACTGGGATGGTGGACTGTACCACCTTTCCCACCAGTGGCCTGATCAGCGAAACCTACCTGCTGTAATGACTGTTCATTTCCTCTTGGCTCATCTCGATTAGAACATGTTGATCAGCCTTTGCATCAGTTGTGCATTCTGCAGACTCGCACTCATCATGAAGATGGTTGGACCTCGCAGCATTTGATACTTGTCTTTCTTTGGCCTTTCTAAGCGATTATATAGGTTTCTTCTGGAACGATCGCTTCAGCCTATGTACTAATTTGAGTGTGTGGAGCAAAAAACATAATAACCACAGTACAGCAACCCTCCACAAGCACAACAGCATGAATAAGTTTGGTTGGAATAGGTTCGAGCCATAGTGACAACAGCGATGGCGAGCCAAAATGAACTGATGAAGGACTTTGGAAGCCGCGCAAGTAAGCTTCCCAAAGTGACTAGCAAATCAAATGATGAAACGCACGAAGCTTCCAGTTCCAGCTTCAACCCAATCGGGAAAGTCAGCGGAAAGCGACAAGCGATGCTTCCTTCTCAGCCATGTCAACCTTAGTTCCATCACTCCATCACATTCCATCACTATTGATGTTTCCTTGCGGGCACTGCCCACAAGAGTCACAAGACATGCCTTTCAACGGTTGAAGAACGTGCTTTTGAACACCTCCAGCTTTTGCCTACAACCGATCTCCATAAGTTTGTTCGACTGTTCCCAAAATCAAACCAGCGGTTTCAGTTCTTTGTGTCGACGACACTTGACTTGACGATGATTTCCACCTACATGCATACCTACCTACCTACCTCCCTTCCTTACCTGCCTACCTACCTACCTACCTACCTACCTACGGCACGGCGCGGCACGGCACCGCACGGCACCGCACCGCCCTGCCCCGCCGCGCGCTGCACCGCGCCGCACCGCACCGACAGACACATACATACATACATACATACATACATACATGCATGGCTCAAGCCACTAGTGCTCAAGCGGGCACCCCTTGAAGACCCGCTAGTGCACAAGGCCCCACTCGAACATAGCTTTGAGTACCAGGCCACAGCGAGCAGGAACAAGTTCCTTTACAACACATTCTTTGCCCGTTATCTCGACCTGATCTTCCCCGCTCTTGAGTCGATCGACGGGAACTGGCAGTGCTCGCTTGGCTTCAACGTGGACAACCACTTGGGGACTGGTGCTACTTCTCACAGGTACTCACTGGCCAGTCCGTGTTCGGTGCGCTGAACCTTGCCCTCACCTAGGACACCTTCCTGAGGGTCATCCTGAACTATGACCACTCAATGGGGAAGGGCCTACATGGTGTGCAAGCACACCTCCTGCTCAAATTGGATCTACACTGACAAGCTCAGACCAGGCACAAAATGCAGTAGATGTGGAACCTGGTGGCCAACCTCTACCAGGACTACCGGAAAAGGCAAGGGCCATGGCAAACCAGCCAACAAAGCAGAGCCAGGACACCGAACCTGGCCTGACCCACCGCCAGGATTGAGCAAGCTGAAGCCACTAAAACGCTCCAAGGTGCAACAGGAGGCCACGGAGTTACTCTCAACAGCATGGACTAGCCTCTCTGAGGACACCCAAACCAAGTTGCAGGCCATAGGCATTGGTCCGACAAAGCCTGAAGAGCCCCAACTTACCTCCACAGGTGCAGGATCTTGTCGCCAAGCTCACAACTCCTCAACTCCTGAGCCCTGCACTGAACGAGAGATTGCAGCCAAACTCAAAGGCCAAGTCAGTGAGCTGAAGAACATGTCCATCAAGAAGACACAGTTGCAGACCAAGATTGACCAGGTCAAATCTCAATATGCTGCTCTCCTCAGTGACATGCAAGAGCTTCAGAGCAAGCTGGCTGATGGTCAAATGACCTTGAAGAATCTCTCGGAGGACTACATGAAAGCGGTCAACCAAACTCCAGCTCCAGAGGATCTCACCAAGCCAAAGGGTGAAGGTGAGCAAATTCCAATGGCAGTTGAATCTTTTGTCCATAGCCTGGGCATCCCCTTGACGGAGGAACAAAAGACCCAGCTCCATGGCCTTTTGAAGAGGCTTGCTCACACTGAAGTTTGACTTCGAGGCAGCCACCAGAGATCCAGTACTTCCCACCACTGCCAAAGGTCCCCGACATCGATTTCCGGCGTGGGCCACCTACTATGAGCTTGAGCTCTATGGAGACCCACCCACTGAACCAGCGCAATACCTACTCCAAGAGCACCCATGGGCAGTTCAGGGCAGAGGAACCAATCTCCAAGCAGTCACCAAACCACTGGTACCCACCAAGTCAGGGCAAACCTGGAAGAAAGGCAAGCCGGCCTTCTGGGAACAGCTCCATTGAGATTCCAGCTCGGCCAAAAACAACCAGACACCCAAACCAAGGGCCCAGTCAAGGGCTTCATGCAGGCCACCAATGACGTTCACAAACATTGGATGGGACCACCAACCTGGGGCCAGTTCATGGACACATGCCACCATTGGCACCGGTACAGGGATCCACATGCTGCAGATCCCTGTTACAAACCATGAGCCACCAGCTTCAAGAGGCACAAAGTGATCTACCGGCATGCAGCGGCCAGGCTGGCAATGATCTTTGCCGCCAAAGACCATTACATCCACCAAAAGGCGCCCAGGCATCAGGGCAAGCAAACAAAGCAATATAAGAAACAGTTGATCATGCAGTGCCACAAGCCATGGACTTCCCCACATCACCGGGTGGGAACCGCACCGCAGTGGATTCCATTGCAGTGCGTGTGGCATACGGGTGCATCAAGCCCCCACGGTGCCGGTCATTGAAGAGAGACTAGGCCCACAGTGTCCGCAGGTGAGCATAGAGGCCGCTCAACCAGACCATCGCAGCCCGCTCAAGCCACTACCCAGAAAGCTCACAAGTGATACGCAACCTCCTTGAGCAGCAGCAGGCGCACCCACCTGCAAAGGACTTTAGTGTTGAAGAGACCAAAGGCTACTTACGATGTGGAAAATGTGGCTGCAGTGTCCACAAGCGCACCAACGTCAATGGGCCCTGCCTCGACCAGCCCTATGCCAAGACACATGAAGGCCATGCCAGCCACAGTTTGTGGCAGAAAGGAGATCGAGTGACCTGTCGTCAATGTGGACTCCAATTGCACCTTGATGCGCAGCAGAGAGTCATCCTGACAGGAGCCCTCAAGAAGATATGCAAAGGTTCTGGCATCAGCGGATCGCCGCCCCTCAGTGAGATTTTGAGGAGGCAGGTTGAGCAAGCCAGTCATCCAGACACCACCGACAGGGCAGAACAAGCAACACCCATGCTGGACACTCCAACTCCGACCAGACCCACAAGTGCAGGGGCACCAGCAGGCCATGATACCCAGCCTTTACTGGTGACTCCAACACAAACCCAAACCCCGGCACCTCCGCTGTCGCCATTGGCGCCAAAAAAGCTCACTTCAGAGGCACTGATGGCTCTGATGCAGAAAGGAGCAGCTCCTCGACTCAGCCAGCACCCAAGCACCAGGCCAGCGCTTAAGATAGGCCAGGACTACACCGACGCACACCTTTCCCGGCCTCCACCTCAGAGAGCGGACAGGCCACAATTAGCCACCTGAAGAGGAAGACCCCACCGACGACGAACCAGTCTACATGGAGGTGGACTTCTTCTAACGCTGCTGGCGGCCTGCTGAGGGCCAAAGCGCCACACGTACATGCAGCAAAAGACACTTTAGGAAAAATACATACATACATACATACATACCGGATAATCCTCAAGAAGAAATGGGCGACGCCCCCAGTTGTGTAAGTCGAAAAGCTCAGAGAGGTTTTGATCAACCCATTTTGCAAAGATGAACTAAAGAAATGACCGCAATGTCGCAAGTGGGGTATGCAAAATCTGTGACGGTGCATCTTGACAAACACATAGGCTGAATGTTGCAGACAAAAACATAGGCTGGGCATCGCTTTGGACGATGCAGCCTCTGAGTTGCGCAGGCCTGCAGCCAAGTACACCGAGAGTGCTCAGACTGGTAGTTCGGCCCTCAAGTTGTTCTTCAACGCACCGGTTTGGGCTGGTGAAAGATGCAGTGGACTCCAGTGCACCCCACCAGCAAAGTGACAGAACAGCTTGCTGACTTCTTGTTTGATCTAGCTTCAAGGCTCAGCGATTGAAACGCCCTGTCACCAATACCAAGCCAGAAGCTTGAGGTCAGGAAGTCGTCAGCGGCAGCTCGCAGCCTTACAGGCCTTAACTTGCCAAACATAGAGCATTTTGCATAGTCGCGGATCGATTCATACCCCCTGTTGAACCAGCCCACGTTGCATTTCGCATTACACAAGTGCACAAGTGTTCACATCTTTTAGAAGGATCTAGGCGCTGGGAAGGTCGTTGCAGATCACAGTTGGTTTATACTTTGGTAAAAACCTGTGACCACTGGCCTAGCAGGAAGTGTTTTTGTTGGTTGTTGCTGTTGTTGTTGTCGTCGTCGTCGTCTTCTTCTTGCGCTTAAGGGCAGGCGTGGCGGACGTAGAATCCTTCTAACTAACTAACATCATCTACATGAGTTGCGTGGCGGTTGCGCTCGCCTCGCCGCCGCTGCCGCTCTGCTCAAGTTGGTCCAAAGCGGCTCCGAAGAATTTCTTGAGTTTTGTGTTCGTTCCTTTTGATGTTTGTTACCCCTGTGAGTTGCAGTACAGGAGGTGCACGGCTTGCACCATTGGGCGGTGTGCCCGTAGTAGGCATCATGCCCGTGGACCTGGAAGTAAGACGCGAAGAGTGCTTATCGTGAATGTCCATGTCAGCTCCCTCCCTCGGCGTTGCACAAGAAAAAGAAAAAGAGCTGCCGTTTTGACCATTGTTGTGTTCATGTTGTTGTTTTCCATTGCTCATCGCATTCTCCATTAACAGGCGTCCAAGCAAGTACGCCGAGAATGCGCAAAGCGATGGTCTGGCTCCCAATCTCAATTTGCGCATGTAGACTGTAGACACCTTTTGATGCGCTCTTGACATGTTTGCTAGTCCACCCATTGTGTGCAGTCTGTGACGAGGCCATTTTCATTTCGGGCCTGCTGGACAGCAACCTGCCTGGCAGCCAGGACAGGTGTTGGATGCAAGGTTTGTTCCCCAAACAGTGTGGACACACTAGGGGTTCTTACGCTAAGTGAAAAGCAGCTGTGCTTAGATCGCTTTTCCGCGTGGCCGTGTCCGGTTAATTCGTTGCTATTTACAGTACATTCATGCCTCTCGACATCGTCAATGTGCATTTCGACTGCGCAGGCTCGCTGAATCTGGTGCCTGCGGCGGGTCCTTCTAACGACCGCGCTCTCGTTGTGGCGCCGTGCGCATTTTCGCAAACGGTGATCACTTTTCGTGGCAGGCGCAAGGGAAACCTCGTGTTTTGGTGCTCCAAAGTCGGCTTTTCGTGACAGGCGCAAGGGATCCGAGGTGTTTTAAATCGAAATGCAGTTTTCGTGGCAGGCGCAGCACTTTGGACATGGTGGTGATCGTCGAGGAGCTCAGATTTCGTGACAGGTGCAATGGATCGTGACTTTTGGACATGTCACACGCACTCACACTCTCACTCTTACCCACTCACTCTCATCCACGCTCACTCTCACTCACACTCACTCTCACTCTCATTCACACACTCACTCACGCTCACACGCGCACTCACACTCACTCTCCCTCTCACTCTCGCTCTCACTCACACTCACACGCACACTCGCTCTCGCACTCACTCACCACCACCGTCACCACGATCCCCACCTTCATCACCACCATCACCTCTCTGGACTCCAACGCGTCTAGATCTCTAGACATTCTGCTTATAGACCTCACACACACTGTTTGGGTTCTCTTGCCGGGGTAATTTTTTGAGGTCAGAGATCAAGCGTCATGAGTACTGTCAGTTTTATTTGGCCGCGCAGTGCAGGGACTTGCAATCATCTATCAAAAGTTGCGGAGGGCCGTGGCTCGCTGCCGTCTGGCGCCCGTTTGCGCGCAGAATTAGATGGGGGAAGGCTGTGGCGGGACCAGCCCTTCTGCTAGCTCCATTTGCCTTGGAGTGATTGTTGGCGGTGATAGTGGGTTTTTTGACGATAAACACAAATCAATCAAGTAAACAGGCGGCGGCGTGAGCCATGGATAGTGGCCGTGGATGGCCAGTCTCAAGTATAAAGCCTTTGGGCCGAGATCCGAGATCTCAAAATCCAAGCCAGCAATGTCAGCAATGTCGGATTCCGGAAAGTGCACCGTTAGCGTAAAAAGAAAGTGTTTGGGTTCCAAGAAGGGCCCCTGTGTCCTTTTCGGCCCTGTGAGCGTTCAGAAGTCAGATGTGCCTGAATTCAGATGTGTGATTTCACCCAAAACAACTAGTGAAACTAGTGACTAGCTAGTGGAAATTAACAAGTGCGTGTCCTCTCGCCTCTCAGCTACAGATTCTAGAGCCGTGAGGGACTCGCAGTCTAGCAAATGGCTTTCGTAGAGGTGGGCGACTGTTCAGATTGTTGAGCAAGGTGGCCGTTACCAGGATAAATCTAAAACATTACTTGAACCATACTCTGTATAGAGACCTTGCTTGCCTCAGTTTGTCACGAAAAGGCATTGGAGCTCCTTTGTTGAAGCCAACCCCTGCTGTCCAACTTCTATGGGGTGGAGAAGGGCGTAGAAGGGACTTTCTTCATCACGTCGTGTTCCATTGGGTGTGATCGATCAGCTTGCGTAAAAATGTTCAAAGTGTCAACGCGCAGATGTTACATTATGCCCTGTAGGTCCCAACATCCCTGACAGATGTTAGCATGGCCACCCTGCTGCAAGGATGACGCGCGCTACGTGTGAAGTGTACCGAAACCCTAGTGGCTCGAAGTTCCCAAAAGAGACGCAGTTTGTGAGATGGTAGCGGAGCCCTGGCTTCGGCTGGGGCGATGAAGCTAGCCATCCACGTCCTTTGGCATGCGCTGTTTTTGCAATGGAAGCACTTCATGAAGGATGCCATGCTGGGTGGCCCGCTGGGCATGAAAGCAGCTCAAACAATAGACTGAAGGCTTCGAGGGCACCAATTCGACGAGTCATGATGACATGACTCAGTGCTGGTGGTTCGAGTCCCTGGCAGGTGGTTTGAAGAGAAGCCATGAGTTGAAAGAGAAGTTCATTGGGTTTGAGGCCCTATAGAGAGCAGTTCGATGTGGTTTGAGGCCGACATTGAGGAGAAAGGCGCATGCTTGAAAGCAGAGATCAAGAGGATCAAGGTTGAGCTGCAGAGACGATTTGAAGTGAAGATTGAAGGACGTGAAGATGGCAGATCAATCAGTTTCTGGAATGAGAACTACATGACTGAAGAGCACTACAGAATGGTTCATGGAGTGACCGTGGGCAAGGAGAACCATGGTGGAGTGTGGCTTGCAAAGCCGTTGATGCTTGCTGGTGAGGTTGAAGTGAAGGGGAACCAGATCTTCACCAACGACCCGGCTATGTGCTTTGCTAACGCCGATTATAACATGACGGATATGTGCTCAGCATTCCAGGTGGAGCCTTACGCTGGTTTCATGATGAGTGAGGTCGAGGATGTGTGCCTATGCCTCCTTGGCCATACAGGTGAGTTGATGACTTTTGGCGTGAACTTCATAGCATGGTTGTCTGAGAGTGTACGACGGTTGACAAGCTTGGACAGCTACACGTTGGTACATGCTGCATTGAGCGAGTTGTGGTACAGGACAGGCATTGTTGGGTGCTTGTTGTCGTGGTTTGCAAGTCTTTTTATTGCAAATTGGATGAGCCACTTGAGCTATGTAGCAGGTGAAGAAGGAGTCACACGTGTTGGCAGAAGGCGAAAGGCCAGGTTCAAGCATCGATGGAAGGTGCAACTACAAGCATTGCTGTTCATGAGCTGCGTGTATGTTGGACAAGGCATGCAACAAGGTGAAGAAACATTCCTTCAGAGGATGGCTCAGATGGCTGAAGCCGCAGCCAGTGCGGCGCAAGCAGCTGAGCGTGCAATCAATGTCACGCTGGCCGCAAGCTGCAGCAGTGCAGGAGCAAGTTCCAGTGGTGCATTTCAGACAGGTCTTTCAACGGCAAGCAGAGTGTTGAGGAATGTGTTTGATGGAACTGACCCATATTCATGTGTGACATGGAAGTTCATTTTCACTTCGTGGTTGACATTTGCTGAACCGCAGTATCAACAGCTTTTGGAGAAGGTTGAACAGATGGACCGCATTCCTAGCATGGCTGAGTATACAGATGATGAGAAGCAGCTGTCGACCAGGTTGTTCTCCATCTTGACGAGCTATTTGCGAGGTCGTTGCTTGCAACTTGTTCGTTCAGGCGTTGATGCTCGTGACGGCTTTCGGCTATGGAAGGAGATGCATCGAGAATACCTCCCAAGTTCAAGAGCTCGCAGCTTGGCTCTGGCGCAGGCTTTGGCGGCCTATCCTGCATTCAGCAAGGAGAAGACGGTGGTGGAAAGTGTGCTGAACTATGAGCAGTAGGTTCATGAGTTTGAGAAGATTAGTGGAACCACCTATCCATCTGCAGAGCTCAAATCAGCAAATTTGATTCGATGCAGTGAGAACAGACTTCGAGAACATCTTCAGTTGACCATCAAGGAGTCCACAACGTACACAGAGATTCGTGGAGCAGTCCTTTCCCATGAGCAGGCCAGTAAGACTTGGTCTCAAGAGGCCATCATGAAGTCTTTGACCCTCAAGCCCAATGATGCTCGAGATGAAGCCGTTCCCATGGACGTTGACAGAGTTGAGAAGGGAAAAGGAAAAGGCAAAGAGAAGGGCAAAGGCTGGTGGTCAGGCTTTCCATATGGAGGTAGACGTGGCTATCCTGAAGGCAAAGGCCGAGGTTTCGGCTGAGGAGGAAAGTCAAAAGGGATGATCAGAACCAAGGCCGGATTTGTTTTGGCTTCGGTCACTGGAGTCGTGATTGTCCGCAGCGTGTTCAACAGGTTGAGCAACAGCCTCAGGTGCAGCAACAGCAACGTCAGACTTCAGGTACAACAAGTGTTGCTAGCGGAGGTGCTTCAACAGCTTCAACACTGAACACAGCTGTTCGTCGGATTTTTCACATCGGTCCACCATCTTCGATAGCAGGTAGCTTGAACAGTTCAGTACGAGTGATCATCCAGGACATTACCGAAGAGGGTGAAGCAGATTCATGTCGCAGTGTTGTGATTTTGGACAGTGGTTCAGATGTTTCATTGCTACCCCTTAGTTATGCAACAGACAAGGCCAGTCATTCCAATGTCAGACTTCAAGATTGTCAGGGATCTCAGTTGAAAACTGTTGGATTGCAGGAAGCTACGCTTGTTGCCTATGATTCTGTGACAGGTGAGGAAATTGAGCCCAGGCACAATTTTGCGGTTGGCGACGTGAACAACTGCATTCTTTCATTGGGAGAGCTGTACAAAGCAGGCTGGACAATCGAGCAGCATGGACCCAATCCCATGCTGACATCGCCAGATCAACAGGCTCGCAATTCATTCGCCATAGAGGCCACTGTTTGTCGAGTCTTGAATGTGGTGATAGATGAAGCAACCTGTGAAGTCAGAGCAGTCATTCGGTTGAGCCCAACCTACATCACAGAGATGCCGTATGGACATTGGGACGTGAGCAACAACCATCCACATATGAGAACTGTTGGTGTACACTATGCTGACCCTCGCGCTGTGTGGTCTGCGAATTTCGCCTACAGGTCAACGATGATTCAGAAGGTTGTTGATCCCAACGAAGGCTGGCAGGTTGTGGAAGTGTCACAGCGATTTTTGGAGAAAGATGATCCATTCAGTCGCGTTGAAGAGATTCGCCGAGATGAGCAGTATGTTATTTTGACCATCCTGGCAGACAGAGAGGAGAATTTGAGCACCTTCGGAATGTTGATTGATGGTGAAGAAGTGGTGATGCCAGAATTTCCAATCATGTCGCCATCATTTGTGCCAGGTGGACAGGAAGAAACATTGTTCATTGGGGAGATGCAACTTGCAGAGCGTTCTAGTGTGAAGGATTTGAGAGAAGCTGCCAAATACCTCAAGTTGTCAACTTCAGGTTCCAAATCAAAGTTATTCAATCGCATCAGAGACTCATATGAGTTGGCGTTGAAACGACGTGCATTGGAGGTGGCAAGGCAGGACTATGCTCGCTTGAATCCAGAACCCAGGTTCGTTGATGCACCAGCGCAACCCAGTGAGAGAGAGAGAGAGAAAGTTACATGAAGTCACACACTTGCCATACAAGAGATGGTGTTCATTTTGCGTGGTGGGGAAGAGCAGAGCCAATTTGAAGTATGCAAGTGATCCCAAAGACATTGCTGAGAGAACGCATCCAACGATACAAGTTGACCTTTTCTATCGAACAGCTGGCAATTGTTTGCTTTTGTGTGTGGACACTTGGAGCAAGTACCCTTTCATCAAGCCGCTCAAGAACAAGAACCAAGGTGTCTTAGGAGAAGCAATTGCTGAATTTCTAGCTGATTTAGGTCCTTTTGAGACAGTTGAGATTGCCTACGACAACGGGCCGGCATTGTCGGCAGGTGCACGAATGGCCAAGTTGATCAGGTCGAACAATGGGTTGCGCACCATTTTGCAGCCTGGAAAGTTCTACGAGAAATCTCGTACAGCTTTGGCCGAGAGATGCATTCAAACAGTTCGAGCGCAAGGCAAGACATTGATCTCACACTTGCAAGATAGAGCAAGAGTTGCGCTAGATGAACTGCATGTGCTACAGTCATGATGCATTCATGTTGGTTGTTGAACCGATACCATGTGACAAGTGCAACTGGCATGACGGCTTATCTTTCTGTGAAAGGAAGACCCTAGAAGGGACGTGTTTGCTGTTTTGGAGAAAGTGTTCATGGACTTGATCCTTTGCAAGCAAAGTACAAATCACAGTGGAGGCCCGGGGCATGGCTTGGCAAAGACGCCATGGATCATGACCTTGTTTTGGTTGGGACCAATGAGATAGTGCGCTGCAAAGCTGTGAGGAAGACTGGGGAGCACTGGGATGGTGAATTGCTGGTTGGTGCAACTGTGGGGCCTTGGGACATGAGGCGAGGCGCTCACACCAAGATGGAGACAAAGCCAATCAGTACCCCGGTTCCAGAACTTCTTTCAGATGTTCCCGAGAAGCCTGAGAGAAGCAAGAAGAGTGAGAAAGCAAATGTTGATGTAGATGCTGAAGACGTATTGAAGTATGCTGCTGAACATCCAGATGAAGACCGAGGGATCGGTGAACCCAGAAGCTCAGAGACAGGCGGGGCCGTTGACAAACAACAAGCAACCGCAGATACAGCTGCCGCTGCAGAAACACAACAACAAGCAACCGCAGATCAGCAAGCCACAGCAGAAGCATCAGCAGTTGAAGGCAGTCCGAAGAGAGCGTTGGAAGGCAGTTCACAGCATGAGCGTGCTCAGAAAGGTCGATATGATCATGCCCCATTCAAGAAGAAAGCAACAGAAGAGTTGAGAGAACAGGCCAAGATGGTTCGCTTCGATCCAGAGACTCCAATTACAGAACCAAGTCCAAAGGCATTGAAGACTTCTTCATCTTCAGATGTGAGCACTCGGACAGTTCGCCAGGTGGAGGAACTTGAACTCTATGTGGAGGATGATCCAGACGCAGAGTGCGAAGAGGTTGAAGGTTATGATTGGAGTGAGGAGTTGGAGAACCATGGTGACACCACTTGGTGGTCTCAGGAGGAATGAAGGTCGAGGACCACCCCAGGTGAGCGACGAGGAGCTGCAGAGCCTAGACCAGCAGGCTATGTTGACAGAGGTGGCGCGTCTTGATGACTTGCAGGTGTTGGCAAATCAAGATGTCAACGAGAGAGTTGAAGACGCTGTCAAGCTCGATACAAGGGTCGTTTTCGATCGGAGGTTTCGAGATTCATGCTGGACAAGGAGAGCTCGGTTGGTCGCCAGAGAGTTTAGAGGTGCTGCTGCATCTTCGATGGAAACATTTAGTCCCACGAGTCCGCTGTCATTCATCAAGCTTTTGCTGTCGATGAGCGTTACAATGAATTTGATGGTTTCTGTCATGGACATTTCAGATGCCTTCTTGCAGGTTGTACAGCGTGAGTTCGTGGTGATTGAGGTGCCAAGCTGGACCGTGAGATTCTGCGTCAGCCAGACTTGATGTACTGGAAGTTGAAGAGGTGCCTACCAGGACAGAGGAATGCCGCGCTAGAATGGAACAAGCATTTTGCTGGTTTTCGCGCTGAATTTCGCTTCCATTCATTCCAAGGTGGAACATTGTTCAAACTTGAGACAGAGAAGCAGTATCTCTCAGTGCACATTGATGACATCATTTTAGTTGCGGAGGAGGCATGCCATTATTTGTTCGTGGAGCATTATTAAACTCAAAGCAGATGGTCCTTACGGAGTTGACAAACCCGGAACTTCTGTACTATCTGAAGAGGAGAATCACCTTTGACAATGAAGGACTTGAGATTGCTGCGAACAAGAAGTATGTGCCCAAATTGAGTTCATTGTTGGGAGTTCAAGAACGCAGAGACAGAGGAGTCCCGATGCATGGCAGTCTAGACATCTACGACGCAAGTGCAACACCGGAGGAGGAATTTCTGATCGCCAAGGATGCTCAGACTTTCAGGTCAGCTCTTGGGATCCTGATCTATTTGAGTCAGGAGGTGGACATTCAGCATGCCACAAGAATCCTGAGTTCCTACATGAGTCGACCTACGGTGACGGCGCTTTCAGCGATTAAAAAGGTTGCCTGCCATTTGCAGGGTACTGCAGACATGGTGCTGAAGTATGAGAGGTCACAAAAATACACGACGGTGTTTAGCCGGTGGAGACACCTAGATGTGGGAGTCAAAGCAAGCAAGAAGCCCCACGTGTTGGAATTGTTTTCTGATTCAGATTGGGCTACTTCGAAGAGGTCGCGGAGGTCAACATCATCAGGCTTCATCTTTCACAATGGGAACTGCATCCATTCCCACAGCAGAGGTCAGATGTCGATAGCGTTGTCGTCGATGGAGGCAGAAGTATTGGCTGCAACAGGACTTTTGGCAGAAGGGATAATGCTCAAGCAGAGTCTTCAATTTCTGCTTGGTTGCCGCCAGGATCCAGGAGATGAAACCACGGTTGAAATGAAGTTGTTCCTGGATTCGACAAGTGCTCAGGCCTTTTTGCAGAGGATTGGACCTGGGAGAGCAAAGCATCTTTGCACCAGGATTCTATGGGGACAAGAAGCAATGAGAAGAGGCTGGTATCGCATTGGCCGCATTGCAAATCCAGCTCCCTGAGTCGAGAAAGGCGAGAGTATTTGGCCAAGCTCATTGGCCTATGGAGCTCAAGTTTCAAGGAGGATTTTGCACCCCGTGTCCAGAGGATCATTCAGGTTCTTCTAGCCGCTGGACTACTCAAGGGATGCAATGATGATGACATGTCAGACAGAACATGTGGAGGAATGAAACAGGTGGTGATGCACAATGCGTGGAGCCTGCGCATTTTGTGTTGGGCAGTCTTTGTCCTCGTGAGCGTGATCGCCGTTTTGGTGTTCAACATGCAGAGGATGCGAACGCAGTTGGCAAAGTACAGATGTGTTTGGAGAGGTGTGAAGAGAGAGAGCTGGCATTGCGAAGACAGGAGAACCCTTTTCTCTTGGCCGAAGGTGAAGGTGAAGAGTCAGCCCATTCAGACAACGATGATGAGGACTATGATGACTACGGTGATGATGAAGGAGACGGGCATGGAAGCTATGACAGCCGCCATGGTACAGATGAAGCGTCAGATAGCAGTTACTTTGAAGGAGGACTTCATTCCCATCTGCATCAATCGACTACAAGAGGCAATGGTGATATGGCCGGTGGGCCAAGTCCGCATCATGATGATGCACATGATGTACCTCCACCAGAGGACGTGGAGGAAACACCTTTGAAAAGGAGGAAGTGTATGCATGAAGGTGTGCGTACGATGGAGAATCCAGAAGAAGATGATGAAGGAGAAGACCAGCAACGACAGCCTTCGAGTTCTTCCAGAGGCTTAGATGCGGATACAGCGCAACAGATGGTTTCAGATTTTGTGGCTGAAGAGCTGAGGCAGTTCTTGAATCCGCAGGATGATGAACCAGAGGTCATTGATGGCTCGCAATGGTTTGTTGTTGGCTCTCAATGAGAACAATGATGGTTTGGGGGCTTGAAGGAGTTCCCATCTTTTCGGAAGACCTTCAGAAGTTGAGGACCAGATTGTTGAATGAAGGTCACGGTCCAGAGGTTTCGTTGACTTTAGCATGTCGTAATTTGAATGACTATATTCGTGAGCTGGAGATGACGCGGGATGTCAGTTTTCGTGATGACATCAGGTCAGGCCGCGACACTTTGCGGTACCTCCAGCATCTTCTTGGCATGATGCCCAAAGCTTTTCATGCTGCAGAAATCACTTTCAACAAGTGGATTGAGAGTGGAAGCAGTTTGTCCTTCTTTTCCCACAACGAGACCACCTCAGGGAGTGAATGTGAAGATGAGGTGGCAGGTAATGCCAATGAAGAAGTAAGAGAAGAAAGGCCGCGTGAAGTGAACATTCATGGGCATGCATGGATTGATCGCAACTACACCATGGAAGATGAAGAAGAAGAGGTCATTGTTGATGATGACGAAGGAAACGACGGGTGATGAACTTTGACCTTCACGTGTTCGCTCAATGCACGAGACTTGAAGTTGAATGCTTGAGAGTTGAGAGAGGGTAGGGTTTCACATGGCTGGAATTTAGAATGTGAAATGTAAAGGTAAGCGCTTCTTAAGTTCAGAAGCCCTTAAGGCGGGGTGACAGATGTTAGCATGGCCACCCTGCTGCAAGGATGACACGCGCAACATGTGAAGTGTACCGAAACCCTGGTGGCTCGAAGTTCCCAAAAGAGACGCGATTTGTGAGAATCCCACAGAAAACGTGCTGTGCAACCGAGGAGAAAGATGCAGTTGATCCCCCTGTAACAAACACGACAGGGCTTCTCCTTTGGTGAACAGTTGAAGAACGTGTCTGGATAAATGAAAGGGCTACGGCTACAGCTCAGAATTTTGGTGGAGGGGCCACGTTAGCTGTTTGCAGGAGAATCTCAGCCTCGACGCTTGGAGGCCCTGGAGATCCTAGATAGAACTCAAGACACAAAAAAGGATTGGATAGAGTGATCACAAACAAAGGATTTTGAATGGTTTTGATATATACACATCAAAAAGAGCTTGTTTTGCAAACTGACAGACAATGTCGGAGGCTTTAGATGCGTGGAAAGCAGCATCGTTTGCAGCTGAGATTGTTGATGTCCAACAAACATGTGAGACAACTGAATCGTCAAGAAAGCGTATCACCACAGGTGTATCACGAGTTCATAGTCACAGGTTCACACCCAGTTCTAATTTGGATTAGGCCCCTAACTGGCGATCCAGTCGAACCAGATCTGGAGGACAGGTTGTGATTCTGGAAGACCTTTTATGACCTTTGCCACGGAAAGGTAGCGAAGTTACATGTTCGGCACAGGTATCTATTGCGGTGGCTTGTGACGCAGGGGAGAGGCAGGAGTCCTGTTTGTTTCGCTTCCATTGGCACTAGGCCCTCAACGGGTGCACCACACTCTAAACAAGCGAGGTCCAAAGTTGGAAGTTCTCATTCAAAGGGGAGTAGAATCCAGCAAGGCATGAGTGCTACTATTGTACTATTGGCCCCATGGCCCCATCAGCTCATCAGCCACATCGGCTCCATCGGCCCCATCCACTACAATTGGGTCCAATCTACACGGTTTATCCATTTTCTTCATCGGAAAACTCTGGTGTCCATGCTGCGGCTGGATTTTGTGGCTCGAGGCTCGTGTGTAGTTTTCCATTGTAGTCATGGCAAGGCTGCTTACGAAATGCACTCCATAGGAACCCCCGTGGCCCCTACTCACCTGCGGAAGTGATTTCGAGAAACCGCGAAGTCGTTGAAACTGCACCGTAGCTCGCAGTGGCAGCCAACCGCGCCAACATCCGGTGATTTTGAGAAACCTAAAACCACAGGCCCAGAGCACGCTGTTTGCTGAATGTGAGAGCTTTCGTCAACATACAATATGATGGATAGCAATTCATCATCGCTCCAACAAATCTTTGCTTGCTCATCCAGGCTGAACAGACATTGCAACCACTATATATGCGTCTCCTCATGTCACATGTCAACAAGGGTTCATGACAACCCGACAACCCTGTTTCATGAGACCGTTTGCCAACTCCTGCTGTCCGTTTGTTGTATACCCATCTCAACTCGAGTCATGCTTATCCATTGCGCTCTTTAATGCCCGCCAGTTCAATAGCTGCTCTTTTCTCTTCCATTTGCAGCCCTGTGCTCTCAACACGTGCAAGACCATCGCAAGTGTTCCTAGCATCAACAATCGTACCACTCTTAAACATGCCCAAATATTCATCAGATTCTCGAAGGTCCAACTTTTGTGACCTTATGCAACATGTCAACCAAGGCCAGCTAGGAAAACTCGTGGCAATCCAATGCATTTTGCATTGATCTGCGCTTCAGCGCTTGTACTGGATTAAGCAGTCGTTATAAGTCGTCTACTGGAGCAGCCCAAAGCACAGAAGGAGTGTTCTCACCCACCAACATGCCCTTTGCAAAGACTGTCCATGTCGGTCTTGACTTGTTATAGGTCGCGCAAAGGCGTGGAAGGCAGCTAGAAAGGACTTGAACGTTCAACTCTGCTAGGTTTGGGAAGGGCATAGACTTGAAGAGCATGACGAGCACCACGTGGGACGAATGAGGCATATTCCATGGCCATTCCACCCTGGAACCTGAGCCCTGGGCACCGTAGGTGCGGTGATCGGACTTCCGCTTTGGAACCCTGGGACTGCCACCTTGGAGTACAATTTCGCAGGATGACCTAGGAGGCGTAAAGCCAAGTTTGGCTTGCCATCAGCCTGCTTGCAAGAAACCATGCGAGGCTATCTGAAGAGAATCTTGACATCGTACAATTCTGAGCCACGTGTTGTTGCAAGGATTTTGGTCCTTTGGGTTTATGTCACACTAGTTGCAACTTGGCCACGGAGCCGCGTCTGGCAGGCTTTGTTGGCAGATTGGTGTGCGGTGAACCCCGGCCCTCTCGGATCCTGTCTTCCCCCGAAACAGAACTGTCCCAAGTTACTGGCTGACGTGCTTGACAAGACCTTGCTCTGTAACTTCTTTGGTGCACTCCCCCTGCTGGCGTTGTGGCGGATGATATGTGTTTAAGCCGAGCTGAGTCTCGTGTCCTGGATGTATCGAAAGTTTTTTGTGCGTTCGGAACTGCCAGGGCAGCAAATTGCGACGGATTGAGAGCTCTTGCCTTAGAACTTTAGACAAGCGCCTTTGCTCAGCTTTCACTCAGTGCCTCCATATACTCTTGGCTGGGAAGGATGAGATGCTGCAGACTCTGCTGACACCAGATTCAGGCCCAAACAAGCTTTAAGACTTTAAGAGGTGTGCACAGCGCAGTCCATGTTGTCATACTCCAGACGCAGGAAGTGACCAAGAAGCAACACAAAGTTAAGACATATGCATTTTTATGCCAATTCATGCATTCAGATTTCTACACGAGCTTGGCTGACAATGGGATGAAGTTGGATCTTTCACACTTCGCGCCGCCAGTCGCTCAGACAATCCAACTGGCTGTTCAGTGACCCACCACTTGGCGGGGTCGGTAGGTTCCTTGTGAAGGCACTACTCATTATATGAAGGTAATGAGCCTGCTTTGGCTTCTTTGTTTCAGGCCTCACGTCATCAAGGTGCTGTCGGAGTGTCCATCTCTTCAGCGCATTGAGGATGCAGCGCTTGCCTTTGACATCCTTTGACTATGGTCCAGACAGGTGTTGCATTCTAGTGCAGCAAAGTGAACAGCATCTGCTGTGAGGTGCTCACCATGAATGCTGCTTGCGGTTTTCGTGCAAGTCATGCGACTGAGCCGCACCTGCTTTTTCACTTTAGGTGTGACTACACTCGTTAACTGTGTTTTTCAGCTCTTTTTTTTTCCTTGTTCCACTGAGGAGAGCAAGTTCAGTGGCTCCACTGCGTTCTTGCCGCTCTGATGGCAAAACCCTCTTGTTTTTGTCACGGTGTTTGTGGCCAAGGCGAGAACATGTGATTCAGTCCCGCTTGGGGGTCGAAGTTTTGACCGAAAAGTTGCGGAAGCAGGTCCAAATCTCAGAAAACTGGCGAATGGAAGTTGATGGCTCTAATATTGAACAAAATGAGGTTACGCTTAGCCTCAACAGCTAACAAAACGGAGTGTGCAACAAACAGGCATATTTGGGGGATTGTGTTGAGTGTGCACTGTGAGGTCTGTCACAGACCTGTGTGCAGAGGGCATGTTTTGCGCTTGCACAAGCTCTTGGCTGGATGTTGCATCCTCAGGAATCCTGCAACATATTGCACTGCAAATACGAAACGCATTGTCAACACATACTGCTGCCGGTTGAAAGGATTGATTTTGACGGTGCTCACCTTGAGGTGGTGAGGGTTCAGGCCACAAGAGTGTCATTGCCCGAATCGCTTCTTGCTTGCACTTGGATTAGATCTACCATGATCTACCATGAGTCGCAGACAGTCATAGAGAAATCTGTGTTCTCTATGAGTAGTTGCAGTTGCTCCACACGCTCTCACGCCTTTCCCTAGGTGACAGCTGTTGACACCAGCATCGATTCCTGTCTTGAGGCATGTGCAAAAATTGCTCAAGCTGTCATGATGAAGGGTTCACTGCTTTGCAAAGTTGCGGAGACACCTTGAGATCCGCGTGAGGGAACTCTTGCTTTCCGTCGCTACTCGTACCAGGAGAAAGACAGAATATCATGTACTGTACATGCCACTATGTGCCCCTTTCCGTTGAACTCAGCCACCATCTACTTTCCTTGGCAGCGAAGCTTGGTACCACACGAGAAAAGGATGCTAATTTAGATTGGAAGAGCGTACCTGAAGTCTGACACCATCTCATCCAACTGCAACAGCGAGCGCTTCCATCAAAATGGTATGGTCATTTCGTTTTGAAGCACACTATATACACCTGATGCCTGGACACTGGATTTGCAATGTTCAGTTTACGAAACAAACCGTCCAGATTTGTTTGGATGGGCACCCAGCCTGTTGCAAAATGTAAAACTTTGAACGTGCGTTGGGAAAGGATCAAGTTGCTGTCATTGATAAAGTAATGGTTTCTGCATCGAAAGGTCGCACTGTTTTCCTTGCATGCGACACCTGCAGTGAGTGCAAAACCTGCAGTGAGTGCAAAAGGCGACAACAACGAAAGCATTCGCCCACTCCCCCTCCCCGCCTCTGGAAAGCTCATGGTCTGGCAATCGGAAGCTCATGGGTTCTGGGTGACACAAGCAAAAACCGGTCTGGTTCCAGTGTGTACAACAAGATAGGACGCAACTGCATTTCAACTTTTTGAGGATTTCTTCTACGACCCTGACGTTGTTGAGTCATGTTGAGTTCATTAAGTATCAACAATCCAGATTTGAGCCGCTGATTGCACGTTTTTCATGTTGTTCGAATTCCTGTCGGTTCCAGGTGACCGCACGCTCACTTTTGCATTACTAGTAGCCGAGTCAGAACAGATTACTGCAGTGGTCAGTACCACCTGGCAATGTCATCTATATAATTTGTATCTAAAGCCACGGGATGGTTGTGAAGAGCATTACAAGATCCCAATGGCCCAATTGAAGACCGAAGCGCTGGCAGATCTATGCTGACCCTGCAGCACGGGCCCTTCAAGCCGTTCTTGACCCCAACGCAAGCCTGACTAGCTTCAGTGTCTCTCCAATGTCAGCTTTATTACTCTGATGCGTTGTCCGGCAGTTTCCATGTCTGCACATGCCACATTTCACTACACGAACCCGGGCCTAAAGGCTCAAGCATTCAGCCGCGTCAAAGAGGTGCGCACGCGGTTGTGAGATCTTTCATTGTAGCGGAGCCAGAAGAGGAAAAGAAAGAAAGAAGATGATGGATCAAGAGACGCTTCAAGCCTTGATCGTGAGCACCAGCCAATCGGCTGCAGCAGCTGTCGAAGCTGTCAGACTGCTAAAGGAGGAGAAAGACAAAGGAAACGGCCAGGGCTTCGGAAGTGCAAGCAAAGTGTTGAAGCAGCCTGAGGTGTTTTAACCTACGAATCAAGAGGAAGAGATTTCACAGTGGCAAGACAGGAGGTTGGCCTTTTGATCATGGTTGACCATTGCAGATGCCAAGTATGAGAAGGACTTGGATGAAGCTGAGAAGGCCACAGGGCCGATGGACTTCGTGGAGATGGACCAGGAGAGGCACACGGGCAGGGCAGTTGCACAGTATCCTAGTTGGACTTCTTCGACATCGACCTCTCAAGATTCTGCGATCGGTTGAGGGAAGAAGCGGTCTGGAAGCTTGGAGACAATCGTCGAAACAGCTCATGCAAAAGACGAGGGCTTGAACAATGGCTATGCTACAGGCCTATCTGTCACACCCAGTGTTCAGCAGGGAGAAAGGAATGGGGATTTTGGAGCAGTTGTTGTGCCTTCAACGATTGTCTGAAGAATACCATGCCATTTCAGGCGAAGAGATGGCTCAAAACACTCATTTCTGCTCTGCTAAGAGTCATGCCACAACACCTGAGGCAGCATATCCAGTTGACAATGGACTTGCGTGAGAAGTTGTTGTCATTTGAGCGGACCACTACATCCTACAGTTGCTCACCAGTGTACAAGGAGTTTGACATAGGTCGAAGAGATGACAAACACGATGAAGCAGTTCCCATGGATGTTGACCGCATCGAAGGAAAAGACAAAGGCAAAGCGCAAGGTAAAGGAAAAGGAAAAGATGGCAGAGGCAAAGACAAGGGAAAGGGCTACGGTTCCTACAACACTGCCAATGACAAAGGCAAGGGAAAAGGAAAGAGCGCGAAGGGCTCAAAAGGTGGCAAAGATGATAAAGGAAAGAAAGGGCTAACGTCAGATGTTTGCAAGCTTTTGTGGTGGAAATGTTATTGGAGTCGAGAATGCCCAGTCAGGACACTCCGCCAGGTTTCTGACTCCTATAGCACCACGACCCCATCAGGAGCAGCGAGCGCTGTGAGCAAGCAGTCGAGTGCCACGAAGAGCGACGCCAGTGTCACAGCAGGTACTGAGACAATCCTATTGGACATCGATGAGGAGGACGAAGCAGAGGAAGCAGAGGTGAGGATGGTGAGTGAGGCCTCTGATCTCACTTACAGTGATGAGGATGGAGGTGAAGGCAAGTTCGAACACTACATGGACTTGGTGGGAGATGGTTCAAGGCCGTCAGACAGATGCTTCGTGAGGTGTTGCGCAGGCAGAGGATTGCAGAGTTGGCCTTGATACAGGTGCAGACGTTTCAGTGTTGCCTATGACTTTTGCAGACGTTGGCATTCCGTTGTCAAACAAGAGTTTTTTGAGAGATTCACAGGGCAATATCATGGGAGGTGGTGCAATGCGCCAAGCGATGGTTGCGCTTGAAGGTGAAGTGAAGACGGTCACCAGGTGCAACTTCGTGAGAGTTTTGCCTGGTCGAATGTCTCTGAACCTGTGTTGGCTCTTGGGAAGCTGCTGAGGAAAGGTTGGAAGTTGGAGGGTTCCAATGACAATGTGACAATGTGAAGCTGACGCATGGCTTGTTTAGCGAACAGTAGAGCTTCAGACACATTTCGTTGGTCACAGGGGCAAAGATCAGGAAGGTCCAAAAGGAGAAGCCGAATAAAGAGGCCAAAGGAGCAAAGGGAAGAGAGCAGGTGAGAACTGTCACAGTCGCTTTTGACGGACTCGCGAAGCTTGGTTGAGGTGGCTGGATTGCATTTGTCACCGAGCAGACGCATTCCTTTCTGGGTGTGTTTGAACAGTAAGTCCAAGAAAGACAGCTACCCTCAGTTCAACACGGTGCTGATCAAGAAGGGCAGTTCATGGGAGCTGGTGGAGATTGCAAGCAGAGCACAAGATGAAGAGGAGATTGAGGAATGTGAAGAGGAGACGACGGTTGTTTGCTTCTTCCATCAGTCTTCAGATGAGTCCATGGACTTCGGCGCAGTGATCCCCGCAAAAGACTCTATTGCGTTGAGGCCGGAGCTGAAAAAGAAGTCAATGGCAGAGAAAGAGAAAGAAGAAAGTCGCAGGCGATGGCTGGTTTGGGCAAAGCCTTGACGATGGAGTTTGTGAGGATGAGGACGGAGGAAGAGATGGGAGAGCAGCAAGAGGCTGATGAAGGCGATCCATTCCCTCGAGAACCAGGGCCGGTTGACGAGGAGATTGAGGAGATTGAGATTGAAGGAGAGAGTTACAAGAAGAGGAAAGAAATTCAGAAGAGCAAAAGGCAGATGAAGAAGACGCAAGAGGCCCGAGTTCCAAGCAAAGCGGAGAGACAAGTGCATGAGTTGACGCACTAGCCATATCAAGACTAGTGTGAGCATTGCATTGCGACGGAGGAAAAGAGGACCCTCGCTTTAAAGAACAGAACCCCGTGAGGCAAGAGGGCAAAGCAGGCATGCCCACCATCTCGACGGACTTTTGCTTCACGAAGGGCGAAGATGGAGTCGATGAGGAGAGAAAGGAAGACTTGAGAATGTACCAAGGAGACTTGAGAGGAGGCGTATCTCTTGTAGTCACTGATCACGTCGAGCGCGCTTGAAGTCACAGGCTGAGCAGGTGCTAAGGTTCATTGGCAGTGTGGGCTCCTCTCAAGTGATCTTGAAAAGTGATGGAGAACCTTCGATGAGGAAGTTGCTTGAGATCATCCAGCAGGCTAGGTTGAATTCCACACCGCGGTGGAATTCAGTGGCCCCATGATTCGCAGAGAAATGGAAGAGTTGAATGAGAGACCCAAACACTTCGTGGTTTGGCAAAGACTTTGGTTAGGGCTGTGAGAGAAGGGCGTCGTGTGAACATCAGGCCATCATCGAGCATTTTCCTGCGGGCACTTCGCCATGCAGGGTGGTTGTTGACTCACTACAGGAGGAAAGGTGAGATGAGCAGTGGAAGAACGTATGGAGGACCGTTGGCTAAGGTCAGAGGAGCAAATGGAGACGACAAGTTCGAGGTCGGTTGCTGGCCTGGCAAAACAAACCGAGCAGTCTTCCACATGGTGGCAACGGCAAAGGGATTGAAGTGGACACGCACCATCAGGAGACTGCCTTCAAGGATTTTGAGCAAGAAGCTAAGGAGCGTCGAAGGCAGGCAGGGGTGCTTGAAGATGAGGCAGCTTAAGATCCACAAAGTGGAGACTATAGTCCAAGCATTGCAGAGACTGGCGGTGTGGAGATTGGAGACGACGCATTGCTACAAGATCTGTTGGATAGCTTGGCAAAGCCCCAATATGCGAACCTGGAGACTCAGGAGGATAGAGTTCAGGAGGAGAGAAAAGAAGTGCGCCAGGGTGGTCGTAGCAGTAGCAGGTGAAATCTCAGAGGACGAGTATGAGTCGTTGACATGCCCAGATCATCCATCTGAGCTTGATCCCATTTCGTTGGCCAAGATTGAGGGTGCAGGCGCCAAGGAGGAGGTTGAGAGATTGGTCGTCGTGGGTGTCGAGATCCCACTTCTGACCACCAAATGTTGGTCATGGACTGGAGGGGGCGTGAAGAGAAGTGACCCCAATCGAACAGATGTGTTTGCTCCAGCAGGTGGACAGTCATTGCTAAGGTTAGTTCCAGCTGTCTGTCAGGTGAAGGGATGGCAGATGATGACCGTGCGTGTCAAGGATGCCCACCTCATGTGCAGCCAACCAAAGAAGGTGAAGGTTTCTTTGGTAGAGCGCTTTGAGCACCTTGAATTACCAGAACATGGGTGTTGCCTGGGCAGAGAGAGAGGGCGCAGCGCAACGGGAGCCGAAGCCGACGCCCAAGGGAGGAGGACCGGAACCACGCCCAGAGGCCCCAACACTTTGGAGAGGAGAAGGTGTCATCCTACTTGTCTTCATGTTGATGACATGATCGTTGAAAATGAAGGTCAGGCGATGGCAAAGCTCGTCGATCACCTCATGAAACTTTACAAGGTCTCGGTGGAGGAAGGGCAGCCGCTGAACTTCCTGAAGAGAACCATCACGGTGATGCGAGAGAGGAGTGAGCCGCAAATACATTGAAGGTTTGCTGAAGTTGCTTTCAAAGTTTGGAGGAGTGAAGAAAGCGCGAGCGCTAGCCTTGGACGTTGACGAGACAGAGATCAAAGAAGGTGATGAAAGGGTCGGCGCATACCGAAGTGGAGTCGGTACGCTGTTGTACATTGCAGGAGACAGGCCAGATATCCAGTACATGGTCAAAGAGCTAGCAGGCCATTTGCAGAAGCCGACAGAAGGAAGCTGGAACTCACTGTTGAAATTAGCCGGATACCTTTCTGTGATGCAGCATACCCACGCGAAAATGAGAAGCCAGAACGAGTCAAGTTCATTTCGAGGACGAGCTCGAGGATTGACTTCAGTTCCCATCTATGAAGAGGACGAGGAGAAATGGTTGCTTGAAGTGAAGTGGCGTGTGATTCAGACTGGTCAGGAAAGAAGAGCAGAAGTTCCACGTCGTGCGGAGGCAATTGGGTTCATGCATACGGACGCAGAAGCACAGATCAGGCACTTGTCAGGGAGGTTGCTTTGGCCCCTATACAAAGGCAGGGCAAAGGTTTGTGGTTTCGTCGAATTGACGCAATGACGAAAACAGCAGACTTGGGCACCAAGACCTCCCCAGGAAGACGCGCTAGAATGCTTCTTTACTCGTTGTGAGCTTCGATGACGACAAGCTTGGAGTTGAAGAGTTCCTTACAGAGAAAGAGAAGCGAGCAGCAGGAGGCAAAGCAGAGGCTAAAGTCTGTGAGGAGGATGATTCGAGAGGAGGAAGGCGTTCCGAACCGAAGAGTTCAACAGCTGCAAGCCAGATTGCAAAGAAGTTGACGAGATTAGCATTAGGTGCTTTGCTGGCAGATGTAGCCTTGAGTCAGGCTGCGGGCGAAGGTGGAGAGAAACAGTGTCCACCATTGCAGGTCAACAGAGGCGAAGTGATCAGATTGGAGTCAATCATCATGTTCCTTTATTTGGTGATTCTTGCGTTGATAGCCGGCGTGTGCATGTTGTCAGGGATTCTTTGGAAAATTGCAAGAGAGTTGTCTTGACAACGAAATTCATGGGACTACTTGAGGTGGAACAGCGAAGAAAGGAGGAGGCGTGGTGAGATCGCGGATGAAGGAAGTGAACGTGATTCAGGATATGGCTATACCAATCTGCCTGATATTAGCCCCAATGCTGATTGGACGCAGCGAGGAGATTCCGGGCTTCCATTCAATCAAGTTGTGACCGCCGTGCCCCCACACGCGAGAAGTTGGAATGAAGGTTGGGAAGAAGAAGAAGAAGAGCAAGGAGGAGAGCAACAAGCTGAAGATCCACCAGGTTTATTTGCATGAAGTTGGACAGTTGCACGTGTGTATAAGAATGGTGAGGTTAGAAGGAGAAGAAGGAGGGGGAGAAGAACAAGTTGAAGAGGAACTGGAAACCGAAACAGCTCGAGGTTCACAGTTCAACAGAGAAGAGTGTTTGAGACAGTTGCATCATTCCTTGGAAGACAACTAGATGAACGAGATGAAGAAGTAGAGTCGAATGAGAAGTATGTTTCGTCAGAAGCCTCAACAGGCTATGGAAGCTTGGAAGGAAGCTATGAGTATGAGTGGAACTATGAACACTTGAGCGACTCGGAATATGAAGACTACAGGATGAGCATTGGTTCGAGCAGGAATTGGCATATTGCAGTTTGTTTGATGGAAAAGCTTCGAACGTTCAGACAGATGAAGCGAGAGGACCCACATGACGAAGCAGTAGATGATGCCGTTGATACCTTCAAGAGTTGCTTCAGAGATGCGCAATGTGGAGGACCAAAACGAAGGAAGACGAGGGTGACCAACTACATGTGGATTGAGCAGAATATACCTCTGGAAGAATCAAGGTGGCCAGATGGATGGGTGAGCATGAGCTATGGTCCATTTGGAGTACCGGACAGAGTTGGATACAGAGGGTGAGAATGAAAAGCTTTGAAGACTATGAGATTGAAATCCAAGCTTCAAGCAAGTCCAAGCCACAGTGATCAGAAAGGAGTGAAAGGAGGAGGAAGGTCGAAGTCGAGAGAAGGTGGAAAGCAAAGGACTTCAGAAGAGAAAGGAAAGGACAAAGGCTCAAGGGCTGAGAGCTCAGGGCCGCATGCCAAAGGCTATGGAAAGGTGAGAGCAAAAGATGATGGAGACACAGATACTAAGTTGATGCAAGTGGCGGCAAGGCCAAGGGAAAGTCGAAACCATGGCTCTATGGAAGTTGAATTCAGAGTTGGAAATGGTGTTTAAGACACCGGAAATACAGGAAAGGCAACGTTCCTGAAGTGATCATTTTCCTTGGCTGCAAGCAAAAAGCAGGCAGGGTGTCAGGCAGTTTCCATGTCTACACATGCCGCAGTTCACTACGTGAGCCCGGGCCTACAGGCTCAAGCGCGTAAAAGAGGTGCGCGCGGGGTTGTGTGATCTTTCACGCGTGTATGTATATATACACACACACACTAACCCTTCATACCTCGCGAATGAATGGGCAACGACATGGAAAAATCATGGAACCTCTTGCGTTTCCCACCTTGTGGAGTTGTGTGCCAACAAGAGTTGGTCTACCGATTTCATGCACATTTCAGTATTAGTCATTCAAAGAGCTCTGATCGAATCATTCTCGAATGCACCGTCTCACTGACGAAACCGTGTGGGTGGATTTATCAAACCTTATATAACCCCAATGGTGCCGGATGCGGACATGGATGACCTCAAACTTCAAAAGCCGAGGTTCTTGACGTTTTTCCAAACCAGCCTTTGGGGGTATTTGCAATGGGGCTGCGTGGGGCTGCGTTTAAAACAGAGGCAGTGGGCCCAGACGGGGGCATCTAGATCAAAAGAAAGGAAAAACAGGAAAATATCAGAACATGATCAATTTATATATATATATAAGATAACAGGAGTACACACATAATCCTGAGTAGGTCAGTCCTGGTCCTGTGGTCCCCTGGTCCCCTTTCCTGGTCCTTGTCATGGTGAGCTGGCCTCGTTGTCAATGGGTCAATTTTGGTCAAAAACACGAGGTTGCGAAAACAATGCGCTACCCGGTTGCCTTGGTCCTTCCGTCACTTTCTGAGTGCCTTACATTGATGAGGCAATGGGGTGTGTAGTTTTCGACTATTTTGTGCTGCCTTTTGAGTCTGATGGATTTTGATGTTGGTTTGCTCTTGGGAGGAGGCGCTGCGCCCTTCCCCCAACCCCCCTCCAGCGCCACACAAAACCGAACTGCTTTTGCCAAGGCGCTGGGCTACCACGACAGATTTTCTAAAGGTCACTCACGCACCCATCGCTCACACAAAATATTGCGCGCACTCGCCTAAGTCTGTTTGATTTTGTATTGCAAGCGGCTGCAAGCATTCTTTCATTGTCCTGTGGTGGATGAGCCCCTCATTGATAGGGCAATAGGGTGTGTAGCTTTCGATGGTGATGTATTTTGTGGTGCCTTCATGCTTTTGTAGTTTGCAGCCCCGCTCCTGCACAGGGCCTGCATGACGGACTTTTTGAAGGTCACCCCATCGCGCACCCACACCAAATATTGCACACCCTCCCTTAAGTTTTTTGATTATGTGTTGCAAGCACCCTTTCATGGTCCTCTGGCCGCCCGCCCTGCTGCTGTTGTCCTTTCCCTAGTATCCTTTTCCTTCAATTGCTCATTGAACACATTTTTTGATACCTTCTTTTCTTCTTTGTGATCCCCGTCGATTTTTTTTTGTTAATGCTGTACTTACTGTATTCCTTTTTGATCCCTCACCCCCAGAGGGGCAGCTGCAGGGCTGATGGTTTTTGCTTGTTAATATGTTTTTGTAAAATGACAGAAGGTACCGTACAATGCAACATAGATGAAAGATTCGTAAGCGGGATGCTATGCCAGAAGTCTGCCTGGCTTGCATACTTTCAACCTTCAGAAAACGCTAGGAACCGCTCAATGCGGATTTGGAGTGTGGGTTTGCTTTGCTGCTTCATCACGCTTGATCACTTGTCCCACTTTGCCTGCTTGACAGGTGCACAGCGCTACTCAAGGAGATGCCACGCACTCTGAAGTTGCGTCACTCCCTGAAAGTGGTGCCCTACGTGTCACGCAATTGAGCTGTTGGACAAAGTGTGGCTCTCATTTTTCTCAAGGTCAGCCGGAAGTGCAGTGGGTGTTTGGTCGAGTGATATGAGTGCAAGGTGCCCAGACTAATGCTGAGGCATCAATGATTTTAATTTAATGAGGAAGACACCACATCGTCCCACTGCAAAACAAGCATACAGGATTAGGAGTTTGGGGCCTTTTATGACATACTTGGCTGGATCGGTAGGAGTGCACTGCTGAACGGTGTTGAAGAAAAATATTTTTGGAATTGTAGAGCTTCGCACACCGGCAATGCCACAGGAGTTTTTGTTTATTTTGTCTGCGGGTGACTCATTTTATTTATATATACATACATGTTGCAGCAGAAGTGCCTTTGGTAGCACCCATCCCCTCCGCATTCGACACCCCAATCTTTAAGCAAATCAATGCATGTTCACATCGTAACATCAAGATACATCAAGCCATTTTTGTGAGTAAGACGTTTACAGATATCTTCTGTGCTCAGTTTCTGCTGACCCCCAGCCGTTGACGTTGTTGTTGTTGTTGTGGTGGTGGTGGTGGTGGTGGTGGGCTTTTCACCATCACAGCACCTATGGTATGTTTTCAGTCCATTTTTCCCCAGCTCTTTCAGACAATTGAGCAGCGGCCAAAACTTGCCAAGAAACAATTTGAAGAGAGGTTGATGTGTTGTGCCTTCGTGAAAGCAAAACATGCAGTCGCGAAAGACCCGCGAAAGATTGTGCGAACTTTTCATTGGCGAAAGCTTGCGAAAGCTGCAAAATCAGTTCCGTCCGCGAACATTTGCGAAAGTGTTTTTGCACAGAAGGCAGCGCGCGAAAACCAAAACGCAAGCCGCGAACGTGTTGCGAAAGGAACTTGCGAAAGAAGAGCCCATTAGAACAAATTCTCGATAGGTTTTGAGCAATGCTCAATTCTCCCTAAAAGCTTGTATAAAATTTCCATATATACTTTTCATTGGAAATCTTTATCTTCATTGATTCATTGTTTGAAACTTTGCTCTGTTCTACTTTCTGCTGCTTGTCTCTAAAAAAATATAATATACTTTTTTTGAGAGAGTCATGCATGAGAGCACGCAGAAAAGAGTGCGCCTTTGAGAGCACAGGTATGAGAGCAGATACGAGAGCACAAGCATGGGAGCACTCATATGAGCGCCTAAGAAAAGAACATTTGGGCACGCGTATTTACAGTTGGCTCTTCACAAAGTGCTGCGCCTGCGACGAAATCTGCACTTGGCGGTTCACAAAGTGCTGCACCTACCAAGAAATCTGCACTTCGAGGTTCACGAAGCGCTGTGCTTGCCACGACGTCTGCACTTCCAAGTTTACAAGCACCGTGCCTGCCACAAAATCTGCACGTTGAGGCTCACAAAGAGCTCTAGACTTGGAGGTTCCCAAAATGCTGCGCTTCCACGCAGTTTGCATTTCCAGGTTTACAGACCACGAAATCTGCACTTCGAGGCTCACATGCAAGCCTGCGCTTGGCGGTCCACCAAGTGCTGTGCCTGCCACGAAGTCGCACGTCAGGATTCACATCAGCCCTTCCAGTGCACTTCGCAATAACAGCACTTCCAAAAACAACATTGAGATGCAAAATCTCAGTTCCGCGCGATATGTCTCCCAGCACATCGAAGTAAAGCAGCTCCGATCTCCTGCGACTGCCACGGAAAGTCGACTTCAGACCATCAAAGCACAAGGGCGCGGAAGGGCCTGCCACCAAAAGTGGTCACCTAGTCCAAAAGTGTGCGCGACGCTATAATGAGAGCACAGTGGAGGAACGCACCCTCTTGAATGCGCCGTAAGTAGCATCGAATTGGCCGCACATGCCTCGCGATTAAACCCAGCCCCAACCCTTACCGCAAGATCCCCTATGACCACACTGTTTGGGGAATAAGGGTATATTGTATATTCTGGGTAAAGTACAAAATTCGCACCCATGCACGCTCAATGAGTTCTGGCTTATGGCTGATGGTTTGTTTTTGTTTATTTGTCCTTTTCTCCATTCATTTATGCTTTATATATGCGCATAGACAAGGCGAGAGTCACTTGTTTCCTTGTAGCTCCTGGTCATTCAACACGGCCAGTCGAATCAAACTTCTGTCCCTTGACTCCGGTCTTGGAATGCAGTGTTGATGCTGTGCTAGGTAAGGCAATTGCATTGATTCCGTGTTAGATTAATCATTGATCACATTGTATTTCACTTCCAAGTTTGAGCGCCTGGTCCTTGTTTAACTGAGGAAGTCAATCATGTGCTGGTCAAGGGCATCGACACAGGCTCCTTGGAAGGGCTCGAGACTTGGGAGGTCATGTTGGGAGGGTAACTTTCTGTTTTGCCAGGTAGCCAGGCTGAAATGCGTGCTGTGGAGGATGCTGTCTCCAGGACATTACCAAGCACCGAGATTGCAGGTTTCGGCTCCAAAATTGCTTTGTTTGTCATTCAAGATAATTGTGCCATGACAGCATGCCAAACATAGATGAATCTACGCACTTACTTACCTGAAGCATTGGTGATTCTTGACATTGTAGGTTGTAGAGTCGTAGAGGTTGGTCTTGTTTCTTGGGGTGACTTTGTTTTCTTGGACCTTTGGTCATGACAAGCTACATGCTGAACACATGTAGAAACAATATGTGAACATATGTAGAAACATGAATTCGGCCAAAGGCAAGGCGCCCAAATTGAATATAGATGGGGCAAAGCTTAACATGCATAAGTCAGTATGCCATCTATGTGTGCCATGTACACATTGCTGAGCAGGGGTACTGAATACTAAAAAGGGTTTGGGACGCAACACATCACAAGTCAGAGCATAGATACTATCTGGAATCTTCCTTTGCAGGATATTGGCAGAAGACTTGCAACTTCCAATGTTTGCCTTTGAAGAGCTCGGTTCTTGGACAGCGTCCAGCTGGCAAGTAGCCGAGAGGACTAACGCACGTATTTATACACAGCTTTTGCAACTGCTTCCGATTATTGATTGTTGTACTGTGCGAATTTGATTCCTTGCCAATTTTACTAGAGGAGTTACTTCTGCTTTTTGGTATGTTCAACAGACAGTTTTCTTGCTCTTGCTCTGAATCCTTTTTGATTCTGTTGGCTCTTGGCTTTCTCCTTGTTATTAGCCACCCGCTTTTCATATTCTTGCTTCATGTTGCTTTGTGGGTTTAAAGTTTGGTTGGATTCCTTGCATTTCTGTGCTAGGTGTGTCTTCATCACGACATGTCGCTGGCTTTTTTAGTCTTGTTTTGCCTGGCGGCGTTTGTTGCTTTTCTGCAACCATTCTCCTTCTGCGTTTTTGTTTTGCTAGTTTTCCACTGTAGATGTAGCTTGCGTTGTTGTCTCCAGTACCTTTCGGTTTTTTCGTGCACTTTTCAAGTTTTCTGCTGCTTCTTCCTCTCTTGGCAGTTCTCACTTTCCGTCACAGCTCCTTCTCGGCGTGGCTGGTTTCTCCTTCTATGACTTGTTGCTTGTTCTGTTGCCGTTCTGTCTTCGCTGCATTTCTGCCATTGTGCGCAAAAGCTTTCCTTTGGCACGTTGAACATCATGTGTATCCCTGTACTGTACAGTAATTGTACTGTAAAACTAATTCGAGTCTTAAGGTCTCCTCAACTCGCTTTTTGCATGCTCGGATGTTCGACTACATGGCTGGTCACAAGTCGTGTTGTGACAGTGTTCGCAACCAGGTAGGGGCTGCGCCCTCACCCAGCACGCTTTGAAGCTTTGCATAATCGATTGCCATGCTTTGTCGGACTCACACAAGAAGTGTTGGCACGCCAATCAGTACCGTGCTCTTTGTGATTGTGAGAGAGGTGCCCTTGCCAACTCAAAAATTGGACATGCAGTTCTCCATGGTTGCTACAAGGCTGTCGGCATTTGTGCCTTTTCGATTGGACTCTTTTTCATGCCCCCTCTCTCATGGCGCAGCATTTGTCCCCGTAGCCATTCTTTGTGCTTTGTGGAGCTCTCAAAGATCGAATCCTGCTCTGTACAAGTCCTGGACCCGCTTGGGCAGGCTGACTCGCAAGGTGCGACGCAAGCGGATCTCAGAGCTCGAAATACCATGAAATAGAATATTCTTTTTCCCGATAGCACGCATGATATCCACGCAATTCAAGCTCGCAAAAATGCTCTTGGATTGAAGCCCCGTGCAAATTCATTCGGCATTTGCTCTTCGCGCATCAACATTTGGAGAGCTCAGTTGATGCTTGAAAGAGATTCATGACAAGCCAAATGGCAAGTTTGACATGGAGTTGGCAGCTACAGAGGAGAAGGCTAGGTGCATCAAGCTCTATGGATTGTTAGCGTCATTGATGAGGGGAAGGGCACTGCAATTGGTGAAAGCTGCGGAGGAATCCAATGGACTTGGTGCCTGGAGGAGTTTGAACAAAGTTTCAATCCGACTTCAAAAGCTAGAGGATTAGCGCTTTCGGAAGCAGCCACTACATGGCCATCATTTTCAATGAACAGTGCACTACAACCTCAACCTCTGAAGCTTGAAGAAGTCAAAGAAGTCTTTGATGAGACGGTCAATTAAGGTAGGGACGACAATTCAAGAAGAGTTGAAATCTGCTATATACATGTATTCTTTTGAGATGTGTAGGTCGACAAGTCAAGTCATACTTTAATTTGACAATTGGCGGCAATGGTCAATACTCAACTTCGAGGGAACAAGGGTTGCAGTGGGATCGTTCTCAGCAGAGGTGGGCTACTTCAATGGTGGCAAGTAGCAGTACAGACTATCGAGGACCTATGCCAATGGACATTGATCGAGTCCAAGATGCCAGAGGAAAAGGTGAGAAGGGCAAGAATGACCATCATCAGGAAGGAAAAGAAGGTGCTCAAAAGGGCAAAGGTAAAGGCAAAGACCAAAAAGGAAAAGGTGTGACAGCGTGTTACACTTGTGGAAAGCCAGGGCATCTAGCTCGAGACTGCTGGAGGAACAAGATTCGACAGGTTGCAAGTGATCCAGCCCATTCATCTTCAGGAGGAGCATCAGTGACTACTCATACAGTTGGTCAACAACAAGCCAATGTTAGCCAGCAGAGTAGCTCAGCAGAGACCAAACCAGTGGTCAGAAGAATTGAGAACAGTGAGCTCATCATCTTTGACTTGCGAGAAAAGGATGACGAAGTAGAAGATCAGGGAATTCGAGTGATTCACTTCTACATTGGAGATGATGATGATGATGATGAGGATGATGATGATGATGAGCCAGAGATCAAATAGTTTGAGGAGATTGACATCTCAGATGAGGCACCCATGGTGAGGAGACTTGGGAACGACGATGTGGCCATCATTATTGACAGTGGAGTTGATGTGGCGTTATTCCCCTTGAGTATGGCAAATCGCGGGGAAGGAGAATTGGAGTTCAGCGCAAAGACCAGGCTACAAGATGCGCAGGGGAACCGTATCCCCACCCGGGGCGCGAAAAGTGTTGAGGTTTCTTTGCTTGACGTTGATGGACGTGAAGTACTCCTCAAAGAAATCATGATCTTTGTTCAAAAGTAAATCAGCCCATACTTAGCTATGGAAGACGGATGGAACACGGTTGGGGAATCAATGGTCGAGAGCAAACCTTGAAGAATGGTGACTTAAAGGTGCCACTCAACTTGCAAAATCGCTCTTTTAGGCCGTATTAGAGTCATGAGAGATGAAGATGAAAGCTGCTTGGAGGTGCAAGTACCTGAAGCTTTGCAAAAGGCAAGCATGGACTGCTAGTTGGAAGCTTAATTCTTGACTTCAAGACTTGTTGATCCCACATTCATTCCAGAAGTGGAAAAGTCACCAGGGTTGATGAGAACCACTTTGGTGAAAAGAGGAGGTCGATGGCTAATGCCTGAGTATTATGAGAGCCTGATGACAATCGAGGAACTTGACGAGCGATTCTTCAACGATCATGCAGTCAGTCCTTCAATCGCAATCTTCAGCCATGAGCCAGCGCCGCCAGAAGATATGGGTTTCTTTGTGCCAGGATACAAGAAGCTTGAGAATAGAGATGAATGAAAGAAGGAAGTGGAGCAGGCAATCGAGAAAGAATCCCCCACTCCACCGGAGAAGGAGGTAGAAGACAAGAAAGAAGAGGAAAAGAACGATGAAGACCTTGAGTGTGAACAATTGAGCCCAATGGATGTAGACAAAGTCGTGGTGAATGCAGTAGACTTGACTAAGGATTCTACTTTAGCAACATTGAGGGCTGCGTTTTCGTTTCTCGGCATTTCAGGCAGTGGCTCCAAGCAAAGGTCAATGAAGATCCTCAATCGCAACAAGAAGATGGAACTCTTGAATGCCAAAAAGCTTGGTGAGTGAAGCAAAAGCTGAAGAGACAAGAGAGGCATTAGGTCAAAGTGTGGCAAAGATGCCAGATGAAGCCACTTGGGCAAGGCGCAGGTTGACGCATATGCCATATGCCAGTTGGTGTCAGGAGCACATTGAGCATACCGCGCTCAGATCGCCATGAGAGAACTGATGGAGCAACGAGAGGAAGTTTACCTGAAGTGAGCTTTGACTTTTGCTACACAAGAGCAAGAGTTTCAGAAACAGAGCCAGCAAGAGCAGTATGTTGGTTAGTTGCTGACAGCTAGACTGGATACACTCATGTTGTGCCATTAGGAAGCAAGAACCAATTTCGCCTCATTGTGCAAGAGTTGATGAATTTCAGCCACTTGTTGGGGTATTCAGCAATCACGCGCAGAAGTGTCATTGAACCCACAACAAGACAAACCCCCAAGATGCTGATCAATGGTCGCCACAGTTTAGGACTCACTACAAGATTGATTACTTCAAAGCTTGGAGATTAATTAATTGTGTCAACAGGATGAGAAAGCTTCAGGAAATTTAATTGAAGGTGTGCAGTCAAGACCTGGTATCAAGATAGGGTCAGATCATGCGCTATGGACTTGGGCAGCGAGAGATGCCAGTTGCGTGCTGAATAGATTTCAGCTCGCTATGAGCTTGTCTATGGTAAGAGTTACAAGGGACTTTTGGCTGAATATGGTGAACCAGTCCACGGTTACATCAAGAGCCTCAACAAAGGAGAAGAGAGATGGCGTCTATGCTTGTTCTTGGGAAAAGTTGAAAGGCAAGACGCCTATGTGCTGACAGATGGTGTGCAGGTAGTGCTGAGTAAACGCGCCAGAAGAACAGATCAAGATTGGTTCAAAAAATTTCCAACCTACAAAAGCTTCAGTGCATATTATACCAGACAAACTTTGGAGGCAGAATCATTACCGCAAAGAAGAGAGCAGAAGTGTTGCTGGCAGCGCAGATCGAGCGCGTGTGATGTTGAAGCTCAAAGATGAAGACGCAGGAGAAGTAATGGCAAAAGCTCTTGAAGTTGGAAGTGACTCAGAGAAAGAAGAGGCACTATTCCCAGGGCCAATGCCGATTCCAGCCTCGCTGGAAACTCATGTGGAAGCAATGAAAAGAGACGGAAGTGAAAGGAAGCTAAGTGGAGAAGAAACACCAAGTAAGAAGCAGAAAGTTCCCTTTGCAGACGCATCATTGCCAGCAGGACAACCCAATCCAGTTACTCCTATACTATCTTCATTGAGATCACCATCAGCGCCTTCAAGACAAAGGGAAGCCTTTTGAGTTGCTTGAAGAAGAAATCCCTACGAAGAAGCTCAGGCCATCAGATGGTTCAAGCAACAAACCCAAGATAAATTTGGTGAAAGTTACAGGCGAAGATCTTTATCGTGTAGATGAAGAGCTATCCCCAGTTGCAGAAGAAAGTGAGGAAGAAGACGGTGAAGCGAATGTACCTGAATGCTTATGGCGTGATGGAGAACATGAGCCAGAAGAAGATCCAGCAGAATGGATAGACAGAGTAGCTGATGAAGTTGAAGAGAAAAGGCCCCACAAGATGCAAGCGCTAGAGAGACCAGAAGGTAGCGCAGAAGGAACCCGTTTCCTGACAACGCGCAATGTGTATGACGGGCGAAAGAAGCCTTATCACTACGAAGATTGCTTAACGACCAAGAGGTGGAAGAGAAGAGCAAGACTAGTTGCAAGAGAATTTGCTTTCGCTGAAGGACCTCACCAGCGACTTCAGGACATGTACTGAAGCTTCTACCCACAATATTCTTGCAGAGAGTCAGTGAAGAGAAAGAATCGAGAGAGGGAGAAGGAGCATTTTCCCAGATGGTAGGATGTCTGGATGTGAAGGATGCATTCTTAGCAGGTTCCACAGGAGAAGCCATTGAAAGTAAATTTGAGGGGGGCAAAATTCTTGGCGCAGAGAAATTTTCCTGGGCAGAGAGTTGGAGCAAAAGCATGGTTTGACTTTTCACAGAGTACCTCACCGAGGAACTCAATTAGAAGTCCAGTGCTGAGTGTCCATGTGTAAGAAGAAATGAGAAGAGTATCATTTTGACCCATGTGGACGACTTGATTTTCATAGGTTGTTCAAAGTGCATTAATGAAATCTTCCTTCCAAAGATTCAAGACAGGTTTGACACCGGTGTGAGCAAAACTGAGAAGACTGGTGATGAGTTCAACTTTGTGAGGAGAAAGTATAAATTTGAGAAAGATGGAGTATGGATCCAGCCAGGTACCTACACCCCGCAAATGCTGAAAGCTTATGAGGAGAAGGTTGGAAAGATCAAACTTCAGCAACTACCATCAGACAATTCAGTTCAGATGGAGGACAAATCAGAAGTCTAGCATGAGCAAGAGAAGAAGATGAGCCTCTTCAGAAGCATTGTTGGTCAGGTTTTTAACTACGCCAGGAGAGGTTTGGTGTAGCATTTACAGTGAAGGAATTGGCTTCAAGGATGTCAAACCCAGTAGCTATGTCATTTCACCACTTGAAGCTCCTGAAAAAATATGGACTATTGTCTAGCAGTTGAATTTCCACAAGCGCGAGAAGGCTATGTCAAGAAAGGAGAAAGCTCTTGGCGCTTGGAGACATTCTCAGATTCAGACTGGAGTGGAAATTCAAAGCACAGAAAGTCAACGTCAGGAGGATTCCATGCATTGAACAGTTGCCCATTGTTCAAAAGCAGCAGGACACAGAAGATCATTCGCTTATCTTTATGTGAAGCAGAGTTGCGCGCAATGCTTTATTTGGCGTCAGATGGGGTATACCTTCGCTCACTTCTTGAGTTTGCGCTTGGGACAAAGGTGGACCACAACATCTTCACAGATTCTTCAAGTGCGCGCCAACTTGTGATGACGAGAGGAGTTGGAAAAGTGAGACACTTAGATGGACTCAGAACAGAAAAGACGTCAATATGGTGTCAGTGCTAGCAGATAGCAACATGGCAGACATCAATACCAAACTTGGATTGGAGGGCACAGAATCAGATACGTGATGAACCTCATTGGGTATTGGCGCAGTGAAGGGCAAACAAAGAGCAGGAGCACTTGCAGGAAAGGTCAACAAGATTGCCAAGATGATTGCCAGAATGGTAGCATCTGGGCTTGCAGCCAATGGTTACAGAGGCATTCAGGAGATACAATGAGAGCAGTCAATGCAAATTGGAAGCGGAAGACTCCAAAAGAAATTGGAGGGTTACAATCATCGTGATCATTATCGTTAGATTTGCCGCCGTGACCTTTGCAATGTGGATGCTATACGAGCAGTTCCAGCGCAAATATGAAGCGATGAGGGACTTATGAATGAAGTGGAATTCAAGATGGTGGAGATTGAGCGCGTGATTGATCAGGATGAAGAAGATGGACACAGGAAAGACATTCTCCAGAGTTATGCCATGAGAATTCATTGTGTTTTGATTCTCAATGGAGGCTTTGTAGAAGAAGTAAAAGAACCTGACTATAAGTCTATATGCAGCTATGAAATGATTGCGCAGGCAAACGCTAGCCAGAAGGAGTTTGGAAGATATGAGATCAACAGGTGGACATTAGTGGGGACGTGCAGCAATGCTAGAAGCAGCCACTCAAGGAGCCAACCAACAAGATATTCAAGCCAGCAAACGAAGAATATGTGAGCAGTATGGAATTTGAACAGGAGCAACTGAATCAACTACTTGGTCGACTTTCCATGAAGCTTGAAAGTTTGAGACACCAACACTGGGTATGAACGGGAAGAGCAGAGTACGACCAAGCAGACAAGGTTGATAGTGAGACAAACCGATATCGACTGCTGATTGATGAAGTAGAAGCAGGGCCAGAAGGACCAAGGAACCCAGAAGACACAGCAGAAGAAACCTCAAGGGACCCCGTTCTTTAGAGGAAAAGAGGAACTCAGCAGAAAAACGATGGAAGCAGAGTGGACCATGGTGGCAGAGTGAGCTAAAATAGCCATTTGAGCGCTCACACTACCAAGAAGGAGCGTGAACAAGTTTCAAGGTAGACCACATGCAGTGTGTACAGCGCATTTGTTAGCTTTGACCTGCTTTCAGCCCTTTTGTGTCAAGGATAAAGGTTCGCACATATATACAATGGTAAGATTATATATATATATATATATATTGTTTTTAGTATATGACCAGTTTAATGAATCGTCACCCCAATGGTGCCACCGCGTGCTGTGACTGACCCTTCACGGGACACTACTGGATTTGCGCGATAAGATCCCTGCAGACCTTCGCTTCAGACCTTCGCGGCGCCAATTGGGACAGACTCCAGACAGAAACAGGGAAAGCGACGAAAACAACAAAGGCGCAGCGAGTTGATGAAATTCATTCACCGGTTATATAACGTTTTAGCAAAGGCGGGGCGGCAGCTTTGCGGACATTTTTGATCCACTTTTGGGAGGCACGAGCTTGGCCGCGCCAACATATCTAATAATTTTGTTCATTCGTGGTCGTCCATTTTTATCCTGCCATGCCCGCCGCGCAGGTCCCAACGTGCTCGCTGTTGGGGACGCAAATCTCCGAGCTTTGGGCTCAGCGCAGTCCTAGATGAAGCCCGAATGGACACGTAAAAACCATAAAGCGCCCACAGTGGAAGGGGCTCAACTCGTTTCAGGTGTGTTCGTCGCACAGAATTTCAACGAACTTGCCTGAATTCGTTTTGCTTTATGGTTTCGCACCATTCTTCAGGTTGCGGCTAGCATCACTCCAATTCAAAGCAGTGAGCCCTTTGATGAAGCAGTTGGAATTTTTGAGCAGATTGAGGACTGCAAGAATGTGTGTGTGTGTAACCCTTGGAATCAAAGGGAACCTTAAGGTTTGGAACAGGGGGCTGGAGTGTGCTTCAGATGTCTCCAGCCAATGTAGACGCATCTGTCGCACAGTGACATAGTTCTGGGATGCCAGAACTACGTACCTGTTCCACTATTTAGGAAAACAGGAGGAAATGGTACTGTTTTCCTCTAAGGCTACCCTATAGGTTGCAGGTAGGCCTCCAAACTTTGTAAGGGGTTCTTTAACTTGAACTTTGGCCTCCACCCACTAGAATGGACCCCCAACTTTTGCTGTTTTGCTGTTTTGATATCTTGTTTGTCTTGTGCTTCTTGTCACCTACTAGCGATGGCCCCCAACAAGCCTTCGACGGCCTCTAACCTAAGAGCGAAGACCTCCAACTTTGACCGCTTTGCTGTCTTGTGGTTTCGTGTCTCCGACCTATACTAGCGATGGCCCCTCAACCTGCCTTCGACGGCCTCCAACCTAAGAGCGAAGACCTCCAACTTTGACCGCTTTGCTGTCTTGTGGTTTCTTGTCTCCAACCTACTAGCGATGGCCTCTCAACCTGCCTTCGATGGCCTCTAACCTAAGAGCGATGGCCTCTAACTTTTGCACCTTGTTTTACTCAGGTTTTTTTTAACCTAGGCTGGCGCGTGGCACCGCTGTTAAATCCGTATGCATATCCATAAGTGTGTTTGGCTTCGTGCCAACCCGGGATGAGCCCGCAGAGTGCCTCCCGTGGACCCGTTGAACGGGGGTTGGTCGTTATCTCCCTTGCTCCGGAGATGTAAGTGCCCAGAGCGGGCGAAGGTGGCCTCGGCCGTACGTACGATGATTTTTGTCTCATCTTCCTGTTCCTCATCGAGGGATTCCAAGTTGGCTCATGCCTTTACGTGACCGCAGCGGGCCAAGCTGGCTTAATGCCTCAACGTGGTCAGAGCGACCGAAGTACTTTTGAGGTTCATTCCTGTGGAGAACTTAACCCCCTCTCCTCCCCCTTCCCTTCCCCCCCTTTCTTTCCCTGCTTTCAGGGGTTTTCCTGAATGAAATACTCAGGATCTCCCCTTTCCTTCTTTGGTGTGTCCCTGACGATTGTTCGTAGCTGGGAACACCTTCCTTTCTCTCCTCTCCCCTTCTCTCCCTCTCTCTTTCTTTCCTTCTCGTTTTCCTCTCTTCACCCTCTTCCTTGGGCGTCCCTGGATGCTTTCGTCATAGCTGGGAGCCCTTCCTTTTTGGTGTGTCCTTGGACGCTTGTTCCGTAGCTGGGAACACCTTTGCTTCCTTCTCTCCCCCCTTCTCTTTTCCTCCTCCCCTCCACCCCTTCCTCGCGCGCGGCGTATTTACAAGCAAACTAGGCTTTTGCCACAGGTTTCTCAATGAGGTTTGGACTGTCATCGGTTTGCCCCCTTTCATTTGGTTCCCCTTTCATCCGCCCCCACAGGCACTTTTTTTCCTTCTTTCCTTTCATGTCCTTCTGTCTTCATGTCTCTTCATCCTCATCCTTTCTTTCTCTTGCGCGCACTATTGTCTGGACCTTAGTTTGTACACATACACGCACGCGTACTCTACTTACAGCAAGGTTCAGGTGGCCCAGGTTCGTTACAATGAGGTTTGGCTCATCGGTTGTCCCTCTTCACTTGGTTCCTTTTCATCGGCAACCACACACACACCTTTGTCTGTCTTGTCCTTTTCATTTTCATCTGTCCCTTTTGCGTGCGCATGTGCCTACCTCCTTTCCGGGCAGGATGGAGGTCATGCCTCCCTTCGGGGAGGCGTGTGTGTGTAACCCTTGGAATCAAAGGGAACCTTAAGGTTTGGAACAGGGGGCTGGAGTGTGCTTCAGATGTCTCCAGCCAATGAAGACGCATCTGTCGCACAGTGACATAGTTCTGGGACGCCAGAACTACGTACCTGTTCCACTATTTAGGAAAACAGGAGGAAATGGTACTGTTTTCCTCTAAGGCTACCCTATAGGTTGCAGGTAGGCCTCCAAACTTTGTAAGGGGTTCTTTAACTTGAACTTTGGCCTCCGCCCCTGGAATGGACCCCCAGCTTTTGCTGTTTTGCTGTTTTGATATCTTGTTTGTCTTGTGCTTCTTGTCACCTACTAGCGATGGCCCCCAACCTGCCTTCGACGGCCTCTGACCTAAGAGCGAAGACCTCCAACTTTGACCGCTTTGCTGTCTTGTGGTTTCGTGTCTCCAACCTACTAGCGATGGCCCCTCAACCTGCCTTCGACGGCCTCCAACCTAAGAGCGAAGACCTCCAACTTTGACCGCTTTGCTGTCTTGTGGTTTCTTGTCTCCAACCTACTGGCGATGGCCTCTCAACCTGCCTTCGATGGCCTCTAACCTAAGAGCGATGGCCTCCAACTTTTGCACCTTGTTTTACTCAGGTTTTTTTAAACCTAGGCTGGCGTGTGGCACCGCTGTTAAATCCGTATGCATATCCATAAGTGTGTGCCCCTTGTAGTCACACGGAGTCTTTTGAATTGTGAAGGAATGACATTCACAAATCTTGAAGTGTACCACAATGTTGCAGTGTAAAGGAATGACACCCACCAACCTTGAAATGTTTCACGATGTTGCTGTGCGCTTGTAGTCACAGGGATTCTTTTGAATTTCTTTTACAATGAGCAGGGGGTAGCGGCAGATCATTTGGGACCGCTACCAACGAAGACGCCCATTTGATCTGGTGATATCGGAGTTGGCCACTCCGACGTACTTACTTGCTTTCTTCGAACTTGTGAACTTTTGTAAAGGGCTAATGCACTTGGCAGCTGTGCACGCTACGACGTCACCCTGTCGCTCCGACTTCGGCTTGCGCTTCGGGCCACACTTCCTTTTGAAGACCCCCAGAATCCGTTGGTTCTTACTTGTACCCTTAGGAATTGGTATCCTAGGCCGGCGTGTGGCACCGCTGTCAAGTCAGTACGCGTATCTATAAGTGTGTCTCTCCTAGTGAGAGTCCGGGATGAGCCCGTAGAGTGCCTCCTGTGGACCCGTCGAACGGGTGTCTGTCGTTATCTCCCCTGCCCGGAGATGTACGCGCCCAGAGCGGGCGTAGGTGGCCTATGGAATTCGAAGTTGGCTCATACCTTTACGTGACCGCAGCGGTCACAGCAGCCAGCCACTTTGGCAGGGCGCAAGGTGACCACAGCGGTCAAAGTACTTTTGAGGTTCGTTGGAACCTGTCGAGCTCAGCCCCCTCCTCCCCCTTCCCTCCCCCTTTCTTTATTTTGCTTTCTGGTGTTTTCCTGAATGGAATACTCAGGATCACCCGGCCATCTTTGGTGTGTCCTGGACGATTGTTCGTAGCTGGGAACACTTGCCTTTTTCCTTTTCTCTCCTCTCCCTCCCTCCCTCCCTGTCTGTCCGTCCGTCGGTCTGTCTGTCTGTCTGTCTTTCTTTCTTTCTTTCTTTCTTTCTTTCTTTCTTTCTTTCTTTCTTTCCTCTCTTCACCTCCTTCTTCCTTGGGTGTCCCTGGATGCTTTCGTCACAGCTGGGAACCCTTCTCCTCTCTTCTTTTGGTGTGTCCTTGGATGCTTTTGTCGTAGCTGGGAACACCTTCCTTTCTTCTCTTTCCTTTTTCTCTTCTCTTCATCTCAGTTGATTCCTCCTTCTCCGCTCCCCGCTCCTCTTTGGTGTGTCCCTGGACGCTTGTTTCGTAGCTGGGAGCACCTCTCTCTCTCTCTCTTTCTCTCTCTCTCTCTTTCTCTCTCTCTCTCTCTCTCTCTCTCTCTCGCTCTCTTTCCTTTTCTTGACGGGTGTGTCCTTGGACGCTTGAGTGGTAGCTGGGAACACCATCGTCTCTTTCCTTTTCTCATTTGGTGTGTCCTTGGACGCTCACCGCGTAGCTGGGAGGACCTCTCTCACTCTCTCTCTCTCTCTCTCTCTCTCTCCCTCTCGCTCTCTCTCTCTCTCTCTCTTTCGCACTCTCTCTCTCTCTCTCTCTCTCCCCTCCCTCTCCCTGCGCCTCCCGCTTTGCAGCTCTCTCCTACCGGCCTCGCCGCTTTCACCTTGCCACACACAGGCCTTCAACCTTTCCTTTCCCTTCCTTACGCCGGGGTCTACACCCTATCGGATAACAGCGTGCAGGGGTGCCTGGGCCTTTCAGTGTGCAGCTGGCAACCGCACCAACCATCCTTCCTCCAGTTTACAAGAAACGATCACTTCTTTTCCGTTTCTTGTCCTTCCTCTTCCTGCGCCTCCACTCACCTTTCCTGTCCCTTCCCTACGCCGGGGTTTACACCCTACTGGATAACCGCGTGCAGGGGTGCCTGCATGGGCCTTTTACTGTGCAGCTGGCAACCGCACCAACCATCCTCACTGAAATCTCACCCCACCTTTGGTGCGGAGCTTAAAATCTTGCCTCCCTTCGGGGAGGCGTGTGTGTGTAACCCTTGGAATCATAGGGATCCTTTTGGATTTGTTCGGTTTGCTTTTTCGCTTTATGTCATAGCAGGGGGGCTGGTTGTTCATGCAAGTACCAGCCCAACGAAGAGGCTTGCATTGAACACTGATATCGGTGGGGACGCTCACCGACGTACCTGCATTTTCCTTTTTCCGAATGGCGCGAGGCTAAGCCCAGAACCTCAATAACTGCAGACAAGAGCGATCGCCGTCACCTCGCCCTGTTCGTCGTCTCGTGGCTTTGGAAGTTTGGCCTTTAACTACAGGCGCTCAGGCCCCCTCACCTGGTTTTTCAGGATTTGGGTTTCTTAGGCTGGCGTGTGGCACCGCTGTCAAGTCAGTACGCATATCCATGAGTGTGTGCCCCTTGTAGTCACAGGGATTCTTTTGAATTGTGAAGGAATGACATTCACAAATCTTGAAGTGTACCACAATGTTGCAGTGTAAAGGAATGACACCCACCAACCTTGAAATGTTTCACGATGTTGCGGTGCGCTTGTAGTCACAGGGATTCTTTTGAATTGTTTCTTTTACAATGAGCAGGGGGTAGCGGCAGATCATTTGGGACCGCTACCAACG